AAGCAATTCCTTTATCAAATATAATATCAGTAGCTAGAGATGGAGCACCTGCCATGGTTGGACGTTATCGTGGATTTATAAGCTATTTAAAACAAAATGTGTCAGGGGTGTTAGCAATACATTGCGTCATCCATCGACAACATCTAGTTGCTAAAAATTTGAGTGTTAGATTGCATGAATCACTTCATTTAGTCATTGATGCAGTAAACCGAATCCGAAGCAACGCGTTGAATACTATTTGCGCAGTTGTGTGAAGAAAATGACGTGGTGCCTGACCAATAAATACCCGCATTGGGAATAAGTGCCCGCATTGATTTTTTTAAAGAACCCCCCTTTATAGAAAATATTTTCTTTTAAATTATTCTGAAAATTCAAGGATAGGTACACACTAAAATTCGTTAATTTTTTGCCTATTTTTAGATAACTTAAACTTATAAGAAGCGGAATTTAATCAAACTAACAGTGAAATTATTGTAGAACATACGTTTATGTTATAATTAATAAACGAACTCGCTTATTTTAAGTAAAAAATTTTTTTTTATTGTTTTTCACTTTTTTATCCCTCTTATTTTTTTTTCAATGCGGGCACTTATTCCCAATACGGGCACTTATTGGTCAGACACCTGTTTATTTAATGTTACGTATATTTTACATAACAGATACAAAATTTTATTTTGTGTAGTTTTAATTTAAATTCAATTAATAAATGTATAAATTAACATGTGTTTTTACTTTAAGTTTTTGACACTAAACTTCACTACAGTTAGAAATTTACAGGAAATCAATATCAGGTAAGTAGGGGGTCTACCCAACAGGGAAAAACATGGCAAGGGGTCTACGACACAAAAAAGTTTGGGGAACACTGATTTATATGGATACCGAAAACTACCAGGATTACTTTTTTGAAACAATCACGCAAATATTGCGCTAGATGCTTTTTTAGTAATAATTTAGTCATTTGCAATACTTGAACGCAACACTTAGTACCTATATGACATATAGCCAAAAATAGTTTTATAGAATATGTAGAAGGTTATGTACCTAGTTTGTTCTAGAATGATTTAAAAAAAAATTGTCATATTTTCACCGCTGTCATCTCAAAGTTGCGTATTTATATACATATTTTAGAAAATGCATTGGCGCTTGCAGTGTCTCCAGAGATACACGGAAAGTATAATTAATTTTCCCAATATTGTATCTTATTTTTTCTGAATATAATGACATAGGATTTTAAAATAAACTGCACATTTACCTTGCCACTTTTTGATCTCTTTAAGGTGGAATAAATAGAACATGTTGGCATAGGCGAAAAGCTTTCAATTGTGATTTCAAATATTATAGAATATCATACATTATTATGAAAAAAATATTTCCTGAGTAACCCTTGAAATTATCATTTTGTTATTTATCTCATAGGATATCAAGGATGATAATATATTACGAATTGTTATAAAATTTCAAGTTCCAAACTTCATATAGTTGGTTTAAACTCATCGAATGATGTAACCCACTTATATTATTCAAGGGTAATAATGAAAACATCAAAAACGGTATAATTCTAAAAAACTGAGAGCTGAAACATCAGATCGAAATTCTATGCCAACGTGTAGAAGAGAAAAAGTGGTGATGTTATTGCTTGTTTCGGACTGAATCCAGGAATAAATAAAAACGACGAGTAAATTCGGAAACACTTTCCTAACTGTCCAAATTCCATTTTTTTATGTACTTGAGTAGCTTGTCCCCGTAAGCGTCGGTTAGGCGAATGTCACAAGATCAGTATTTATCGTGATCCATCAATATATTTATCATAAGATGAGATATTTATTGATTGTGTAGCCTAGATGTCAGTAACTATTGACACATAATGGTACGCGGAAATCCACTAATGGTAACTACTGATCGTGTCACATTCGTTTTACCGTTTCCGAGATCCCAAAGGCGAGGTTCGAATTTAAAAGTCACGTCACATATAAGGTACCTAGGTCGAATATGGCCACCTTAAGGTTTCTTAACTTTTTTCTAAAATAATAAAGATAAAAGAAACAAGTCAAAGTAGTTGTCCATGAAGACTGAATATTTAACTTTATGATGAAGGCAGAAAAATACAAAGATATTAAATGATAGAAATATTTTCAACAGTTTGAAAAAAAATTGAAATTTGGCCATATTTCCGACGGGGTAGGTAAATATGCCCATATATGTGGCCATATTTACGGTATATATTATTTTAAATAACTTCTAAATAAGTGAAATAAAAATGGACATTAGATTTTAATACAACTTTATTTAAAAGATATTGTTTAGGCGACATCCAGTACATTATCATCGTCGTGGTTAGTCCAGACTGCACCTAGTGCATACAAATTTATCTGTATCTTCTTTTGTTAATCCAACACAGTCCTCATGGACATATGTTTCACATAAAAAGCATATTCTCATGTCTGCTATTCTGTCCTCATTGCAAACATAACAGTACCATGAATCTTTAGATTTTTCAGATTGTCCTTTACGTGACTGTTTAGAAACCTTCTTCGGAGTTACTGCTTCACTGTTGTTCCTTTTAGCAGAATATTTTCTTTTTTGGTAAGCCACTTTAAATGGGCCTGGTATATTTTCTATTTTTTGTTTAGGCGCATTTGATGGCCCTGACTTGTTATTTTTATCTGTAAACATTGATTTTGTTAGCGCCTGTGCGAGACTATTGATAGCTTTTGCCCTCGGAGCAGTTTTTGGCCTTGACGTTTTCTCTGGAGTTTTTAACATTTGACACAAAGATGTATATGACTCATTAAGTGTTGTGGAGCAGACTACATTTAATTCAGTTTTTGACTCGATATTATTGTTATGTTGCTTTAGTTTGGACAAAGGAATGTGATCGCTACTGTCGTAATCGTCATAAACACTTGGCAGGGGTTCTATAAAGTTCGATATATCTTCTTGATTTGGGTGCTGTGGATGATCATCAGAGGCGTTGTCTGGAGTTGCAGCACAACGCTTTGCTTGGCTTGGCTGTGAATCTGAGGAATCATTTGATGGATTTGAATTACCTTTGTCTTCATTTGGGAGAGGATAAGGAGAATTTCCACTGGCATCAGTAACGTCGCTTTCATTAGTATCTTCATTTTCCTGAGGAGGAATTAACAGATTTGTAGCGTCGCTGTCGTTAGTATCTCCATTTTCTTGATTTTCAGAAGGAGAAGCTCCAGGTTCTGCGAAATTATGAGTAGGTATGCTGGGAGCGTATACTTCTTCTGGAATCCTATCTGGATTGAATGGGTAAATTCCGGTCGCTTCAAATCCAGCTTTGACATTAGCAGGTGTCGCAGCTTTATCCCACACTTTGGAAAATAATATCCCAAACCTTTGTTTGGTTATTTTCCTGTCGTAGTGAATAGACCAGTATTTTAAAACTTCTTCATCCCAGTAATATTCAAAAGAACGAAATACTGATTTGTCCATGGGCTGCAATTCATGTGTGGTGTTGCTCGGGAGACAGAAAAGCTTGATGTCGAATTGTTCTGCTGCTTCAACTATCGAATAGTCTAAGTGGCACTTCGCTCCATCCAAGATAAGTAAACAAGGTCCTGGCAATTTAAATTTTGCAAAATGGTGTGTCCAGTTCACAAATGTTTCAGAATTCATACTCCCTTTGGGTGTCATTTGGGCTACTGAACCGGTGGGTAACGAATCTACCCATTCTGGCTTCATTCGTTTGCCCTTAAAGGGTATCATGGGCGGAATGACATGGCCTAAAGCGTTGCCACATGAAACTATTGTTACATTCTCGCCGTGTTCGGGTGCTACCAAATGTACTCTCTTGGATCCACGTTCAGCCAAAACTTCTGGTGATTTGTGCAAATTAAGCTGGCAACCTTTTTCGTCAATATTATAGATACGTTCCGGTTTGTTCATAAGGTCATTTTCTACTAAGATTTTCTTCAATTTACTAAAATAATCGGAAACTACTGCTTTATTCAGCTTTTGTGCCCTTGCGGGGTTTAGGTTCTGTGCTTTTCGTCTACTGATATTCCTATGACGTTTTAAAAATCTTCTCAGCCAATCTCGTCCCACCATCAAGCCTCCACTTGGCGCTGGAATGTTATTTTGATCACAGAATGTCTTCACGCATCTACGAAGTACACGCTGTGTTAATGGATATCCCACATTACACAGACGAATAATACAGGATTCCAAAATCTTTTCATCTTCAGGGTTAAGAAGTGGTTTCCGGCCCAAAGTAGATTTGGTCTCTTTGTTTTCTTGTAAATAACGTCTCAGAGTGCGTCTTGGCACATTATAATGCTTGAAAGCCGTATAAATTTTCATTTTACCACTTCTGACTGCAGCTAAAGCCAATTTCATATTATGGTGGCTTCTCACTACGCGTGCTACTACGCGTCGCGCCGCTCCACGCGCAAGAACACGCCACGCGACACGCCGCGCCACCCGTTTGTGCGGCGCGGCGCGGCGCGTGCCTTCTGGCTTTACACCTCAGTTTGATTCAGTCTGTTTAGCGCAGCGCACTATGTCTTGTGAGTCGAATTGCCACCTCCAGCCATGGAGCAATGCCACTGAAGAAGAAGGCATGGCTGTTGCATCAGCCGTTTTTGTCTTATTTTGTGGATATCGTTTACTTAATAAAATTAACAAAAACAAGAAGAGGAGACGCTGGTGGATGTCAACGTTCAATAAGAGCCGGTCAAGGTAATCATTGTTTGTATTTTGAGATAATTACATAGGTACGTAATTTTTAAGAATCCTATCAATATATTTGATGGTATCTATTGGTAAGTTTGGCGCGTTTTAAAATGAAACTTTGCTGCCGGAAAATTTAGTAAAAATTATTGTATTTTTGTTTCAGATACAATGGATCAGATATGCTATCGGATTTTGTTAAAGAACCGAGCAGAAAATTTGAGAACTTCTGTAGAATGGCACCAGAAGATTACAACTATCTAATGAATAAAATAGGCCCTATCATTGCAAAACAAGATACCCATATGAGAAAATGTATTCCAGTACAAGAACGGTTTGCAATTGCTCTCAGATTTTTAGCAACCGGAGATAGTTACACAAGCCTTTCATATCTTTTCAAAGTATCTATCCAAACAGTTTCAAGTTGTGTCACGGACGTTTGTAAAGCATTGATAAAAGAACTATCACAAGAAATAAAAGTAAGTAGTAGAATTAAGCATTTATTTTTTTCAAATCGTAAACAAATAGAAATTGACATCATCCATTTAAACTAAATTACTACCCTCCTCTTCATAGAAATCTTTTAATAGACTTTGCGAAGCTGATGTTTCGACTTGCGACAGCTGTGGAGATGGATAGTTTGGGGATGGCTGTGGAGAAGATAATGAATGATAGGTTGGGGATGGCTGTGAAGAAGGCGATGGATGATAGGTTGGGGATGGCTGTGGAGAAGGCGATGGATGATAGTTTGGGGATGACTGTGAAGAAGGCGATGGATGATAGGTTGGGGATTGCTGTGGAGAAGGCGATGGATGATAGTTTGGGGATGACTGTGAAGAAGGCGATGGATGATAGGTTGGGGATTGCTGTGGAGAAGGATATGGATGGTAGGATGTGGATGGCTGATAGTAGAGATTGCCGGAATGTCCAAAATTCGTGGGCTGTGGTGGGTTGATTAGTATTTGTGCATTTGGGTTTGACGATAGTTCTTTTTGCTTCAGATTGAAAATCAATCTATCAATTTCCAACATCGCTATTTCACGTGTATTTTCTGGTAAGCCTCTCAATTTTTTGCACAATAATTGTGTGTATAATGAACATTCATCTTGCGGGATTTGGGGTTTTTGAGTCATTTGTTTTATATAGTCGTATGCTTCGTTCATTTTATTTTCTATATCAATATTTTTAGCACGTTTTTTAGGAAGAGGTTTTGGTCTTTTAAATTGAACTGATTCTTCATCATCCTGTTTACTATCTTCAGAGGCATCTAAATCACGGTTATCTTCTATTTCTTCTATGTCGTCAGTGACCTAAAAATAAGAAATATTCATGATAATTTACAATATTTCTATTTGTTTTAGCTGCCACGGACATCATCTGACTGGTTAAGGATAGAGAAAGGATTCCGCAGAACTTGGAATTTTCCTCACTGCTTAGGAGCTATCGACGGAAAACATGTGCTAATACAAAGTCCTATTCATAGTGGATCTGAGTTTATCAACTATCACAAAACATTCAGTGTTGTATTAATGGCTTTAGTCGACGCGGATTACAATTTTATTTTTGTGGATTGTGGGTGCCAGGGCCGAATAAGCGATGGTGGTGTATACAGAAACACCAACTTATATAAACAAATCTGTAGAAAGGAATTGGGTTTTCCACCGCCAGACTGCTTACCGCTGAAAGTAACACCTCTACCTTACATATTTGTTGCAGACAGTGCATTTGCTCTAACGGAAAATATGATGAAACCTTACGCTGGAACTCATAATAAGGGATCTAAAGAACGCGTGTTTAATTACCGCCTTTCACGAGCTCGACGGATTGTTGAAAATGTCTTTGGCATTATGTCTGCGGTGTTTAGAGTACTAAGAAAACCCATGCTTTTACAACCAGATATTGTAACTGATATTGTGATGACATGTGCATTGTTACACAATTTTTTGAGACGGTCTAAAAGGTCTAGACTTATATATACCCCTCCTGGATCCTTTGATACCGAAAATGATGATGGCGAGATTCAGCCCGGTTCTTGGCGTGATGACCAAAATGGAGTTGCTTCCCTACTACCACTCCAAAATCGGCCAAGAAGAGCACCTCTTTCCGCCAAGAATATAAGAGACCAGCTTGCAGAATATTTTATAACAAACGGTGCGGTTGCCTGGCAAAATAATTATTAATTTTTTAAGTAAATAAAGTACTTACCTCAGAATCCTTCGTTTTCTTTGGAGTATACACATCATTCAAAAATTGGGCCATCACATTATAAAATGGCCAGTCAGGCTTATAGATTTCATCAGCACCGCTGCCAGACTTTATTGATTGGCAAACTTTACTTCTTAATTTTCTATAGGTTCCCATTAAAGAATCCCTTTTCTTTTTAATTTCTTGTAACGGTATGGTACCACCTTTTAAATTCTGTTTAATTCGCAGCCAGGCATCATGCTGGTCGTTTTTGTTTTTATGCTCCGCATTTTTCGAATTCCACAGAGAGGGTTCGCCTTCATACAAAGTTAAAAATTCGGCGATCGTTTCATTCGGCCACTCCATATTCACCACAGTACCTCAACGTAGGACGAGTCAAAATGAAATGAACGAGTTCAATCGTGTTCGTCTGTCTGGGTAGGTACACGCCGCGCCGCGCCTTTGAAGTTACCGACTTTTAGCGGATAGGTCGCGCCACGCCGCGCCTGCCCGCGCCAAGCTCTTCACACTGCGCGAGGCGCGTGCCGGCGCGGCGTGGCGCGGGTCAACACGCGCAGTGAGAAGCCGGCATTAGCATCTGCCCAGTTACTTCGAAGCCCTTCACATTTATAGCGTGCCATGGTCTAAAACAAAAAAACGTGTCAGCAATTCAGTAAGTACTGTTAATATGGCCAAACGGTGGCCATATTTGCAGTCATCCAAATTTTTTGTTTTCATATTCACGAATGAAAAACACACTATTACTTTGATAAATATACAAAGAAATATAAAACTACAATTATTACACAACATCGTTATGTGAATAATAAAGATTTATAATGAAAACAACGTTAAAATACAGGACAATACTTACTTACTGTTTTTATAACCTCAACACTGCTTTTCACTATATTGACGGCTGAGCGGCTAACGCTTGCACGGATGGGTGACAGGTAGGCCGTTCGAATACATGCGACAATTTAGGGTCGCGTTCAGCTCATAACAAACTTTCGTGTTTGGGAAAACGGTATGTGGCCATATTTACAGGCTGGCCATATTCGACCTAGGTACCTTAGTATTTGAGCAAAATTAAGTTTATATCCAGCATAGATTTCAACTAATCCTAGTAATTTATCATCCTATAGAGATTGATTCAACTTGTGGAGAACCCTGAATGAATAATTTAATTTTTGTAAGAAATGTTCGCTGCAATTAATCTTTGACGAGCTAGGAAAAGGGGGGGGCAGCTGGAGAGATCTCTGAAATACCAATGTCTGTAATCTTAATGTTTCATTTATTTGTCCGTTGATCTCCATTTCTGACTCCAAATTCATGTTCAGGAGGAAAAAGTACATGTGAAAATATAGCGTGTGTGACCCCCAGCACACACCACTTGTTTACTTTGTGGACATGTTATCATTTTCTTTTTTTTGTATTATTTACTTTTCAAAAAGGAATGGTGGTTGGAAGGAAAACATGCAACCAATTGTGCGCATTGAGCATTACATTTATGCATGTCCACAGGATGTCAAAAAATTACAAGATAAAGCCAGTTATTTTCATCTCCTAAAAAATACAACTCTCCATCCATTAATAAATTGAAACAGTGTTCATTTCTGAAATAATGTCTTTCCTTTATTGTTTTGAGTCTATCGACAGACGCCTTCAAACGATATATGTTAAATGATCATCGGTTAGTCTTACTATACATAATCGCTTTTATGAAACCCATAAACACTGCTGATTCATGCATTAGATTAAAATGGCGGTGGGTTATACTGTTTTATTGGCCAATTGTCAACCAATGTCTTCACGTCTGCTCTTTATGCCATCTGAGATATCTGCGCGGAATGTGTTCTATGATTGACAAACAGCTGTTGAGTTGTTTACATCGTTTGACTGCCAAAATCGATTTTATTAGCATATTTCCAATCAAACCCTAAATTTATATATCAAATTCATTAATATTTGAAGAACAACTATAGAAAAAAGCAAAGCACAATGCTGAAGCGTCCGAAAGCCGATCATACGACTAAGCAGAACAAATCTTTGAACCAACTGGCCTCAGATCTACACGAGTTGGTATCAAATAAGCAAGATTTGCGTTCTGCCGTGGAGCATTTCTTCGATCAGTTAGTGGACGAATTCACTTTGGGCATCATTTTCGACGTTCATCGGAAGTTCAAGACTAACGCGTACGATTTGGACTTGGAGAATGGTGCGGGAGGAAATGGAACTGGTATTGATGAGGATGAGGACGAAGAGGAAGCTCCAGCATGTATTTGTCCCAATTGCAATAGAGCTGTCGCTGCCAGCAGGTAATCTGAAAGGTCCCTTTTAAGACTATACCACCCTTTTTGTAAACTGAGATACCAAAAGTTGGAGACATGTTCACAATATTATTTAACCCAACATTTGTATCTGCCTATTGGGTATCATTTAAATACAGTACTTAAGTGTCCAAGGGGTAGAATACGTTTTTTCTTTTCCTCTCCTTTGAGCTCCATATGCCTCTAACTATAAATTTGGAATTGCCACTCTCTAGCCTGATTTGCCACTGCATGTTAACCCCATCCTGTACTTTATGATTATGTTAAGAATAAGAAAATATGTGCCTTCTATTTAATTCAACTCTTGCAGGAATTTTTGGGCTCCCCTGCATCGAATATCTTGCTGAACATTAGTATGTCTACTATTTATTAACATTACAGGTTTGCAAGTCATCTTGAAAAGTGTATGGGCATAAGAACCAGAAGCTTAAGAAATGCATCCAGAAGGACAGATAACAATAGCTCTGGTCATAATGATAATGGTATATTTATTATATAACATAATTTTGTTTGAAAAATATTCCAATAGGGCCCTAATCCTACTCTTTGAGATCACTTGAATTGTCTTAACCTTGAATAAGTTTATATGTATGAACTAGTACCTACTGTCATTGAAGCAATCATGTTTCCATGAGAAAATACAATTATTTTTCAATATCCAGGTGGATTAAATAGAGAGACCACTGCATTTGCTTCTGGAATACCTAGTGATGATGATGGTGACCCAGATTGGAGTTCAGCAGATAGGCGCAAGAAAAAGAAACAAAAAAATGGTGGCAAGAAAGGCAGAGGTATTTTATAGCAAATTTTAGCTTTTACATAATCTAACAGTTTCAACTTGAAATGCTGTAGAATTTTTTAAAAACTGTCACACCTTATGTTGCAGGTACACCCAAGAAACTGTTAGATCTGTCACCATCATCATCAGAATATGCTGTTGATGTTGAGAGCATTAATAATGTTGCTGATGAAGATGATTTGACACATTTTAGAGAGGTTTTGCATTTACAGGTTTGTGATGTTGATTATATGTTTATACAATTTATTTTGGATGATTTATTATATAGACATTATATAATTGTTGAAACATAACTATGAATCAACCATTATGTCTACATGTCAAAGGGTGTTTATTCTTCAGGATCATAGAACATCTCCATCTGGTACATCTGAGGGCAGCACCAGTACCTTAAATAGCAGTCTGATATCCAATAACAGTACTGATTCTAAGAAGAACAAGTCAAAGAATCGGAAAGGAAGCAACAAAACTAAAGGACAGGCTATTGCCAGCATCTTCAGTCAGTTCTCTGATGGTTAAGAGAAAGAGAACTGTGGCTTTACCATGAGTATAACATGCACTTATAAGATCTATATCTTGAATAAGTTGATTATTTTAATTATATTCCTTTATAAACATTTCAAACTAATCTTTTATTTACCAATCGAACTTTGCGGTGGTTCTATAATAATTATTAAATTAATTTCTCTGAGCAACTGTTTCAAACACAGGATATTATTTTCTTTGAAAAATAGACTAGCAAAATAAAGTCATTCTGCTTGCAAATGTGTAATTATTCAAATTTCAATGTGCCTGACCATCACTCGCAACAGGTAGCTGCAATCAAATGAAGCAGTTATACTTTATTAATTTATCACTGGAATTCGAAATACAATTCGGCACGAGTTTGTCGGTTTTTTCATAACATAACGTCTGTTTTTCTAGAAGATGTCAACTCAGCACTAGAATCAAATTCAAGCAAATAACAGAATGAAACTGGTAGGTATTAACAGATCCGCCCAAGCGAGTAGCGAGTCTGGTTGTCAGTTGGGTTAAAAGGACGGTGAAGTCTCAATCAGCTGTTATATGTCATAGCACGGTAAAATTGTGGTATTTACCCAACTCCGGAGTAGTGTTATATTTCTGGTTATTATTTGAAATGTGACAAGTTAGAATTCTGGCGGGTATTGGATATTTTTGTTGTACTTCAGCTTCGTTTTTGGGAAACTCGATACAATCTGACTTCAGTTTTATTAGAAAGTAGAGCACCTTATTAGTTATACTCATGACTGTTGTTTGTGACACTTTAAATTTAGTTTCTATACTTAACAAAGTATGCTGTGTAGCCATATACCAGAAGATTAAAATATGGCCATATAAGCTCACTGGATAGTGTCCACCTGTATAAGATATGTTTTTCTTATCATTTCCTGCTAAATCAATAAATGTTTTCTTTGACATGCGGATAAGCTTAAAGAATTAAAAGTTATAGCTACAAAGCTATGGTTCCACTATTAAAATATTGGGCGTCATATCTTTTATTTTCACAACAAACTTGTTTAAAAATAAGAGGGACTTTCTCAAGTGATTTAACACCTGAACAATATCATTGGAAAAAAAACATTTCTGGTAATATTATGGACGTTTGCTTTTTTAAACTTTCCATATCACTATTGTAGACGAAAAGCACCGATTATTAAGTAATAATAAAAATAATCAGAAATTATATGCCCGCTTGTCTAAAATAAACAACTTGCGACAAAACTGCGGTTAAAATCAACGCGGTTCAAACGATTCGAGTAACTGACGTAATCAACTCGTATATATATGTCATCTTAAACCACATTATAGCCGCGGTAAGTAACACAGACATTTTTGATTATTCCCTTGGATTTGATTTTAGCTGTTGTACACTTGTTGTGAACTCATTTTGTAGCTGTACATGTTGATTAAGCGTCATGATGCTTCAGTAAGTTGTATAGCTGAAAGGAAGCTGCGGTGCATAGTGTGTGCTAATTTATGTAGATGGTGATTCCATTGGTTTCTTGTCTCAAACACACTTTTTTGAGATGTATTTAAAGCTAGTAATCAGTTGCACATCCACTTTTTCTTAATAATTCTGGGAATTACAAAATATGCAATTTGCTGAATTTCAAAAATGAGAGAAAGAAAAGAAAATCCCTAGTTTCTGAGGCAATGAAACGGGAAGATTTCGTAAATAATTTTATTATCGAAAAAATATTTTTTTTGTAATTAGTAATACCATACTGGGAAATAAAAGAGTAGCCATTTGATATACAATGTTAAAAAACATTATTTTTTGAAAATTACATCTGTCAAATGGCCTCCGTTGACACGTATGCATTCATGGAGTCGAGCCTGGAAGTTCTGCATAACTCTTCGCAGCATATCAACAGGTATTGCTGCAATCTCGTCACGAATTCGTTGTTTGAGGGCCGGGATTGTCCTGGGTGGATCAGTTTCAAACACTTTCATTTTCAGATAACCCCATAAAAAGGAGTCGCAGACAGTAAGGTCGGGAGACCGAGGGGGCCAAGCAATATCCCCGTTTCGAGAAACGACACGCCCTGGGAACAAAGCATTCACCGCATTCATCGAAATTCTTGCAGTGTGGCTTGTTGCACCGTCTTGTTGAAAAAGTGTGTGTTCATTAACTGGAAAGCGGTAGAGTTCAGATGTGAGGAAGTTCCGAATCATTGAAACGTATCTCTCAGAATTAACGGTAACGGCATTTTCAACCTCATCCTCAAAAAAATACGGACCTATGATTCCATTTGCAGACGTTGCACACCATACTGTCACTTTCTGAGCATGAAGAGGTGATTCATGAAGCATACGAGGGTTAGCCTCCGCCCAGTATCTAAAATTTTGTCTGTTAACAAAACCGGAGAGGTGAAAATGTGCCTCATCGCTCATCCACAAGTTGTTAACCTGGTCATCAATTTCTTCCAGCCTTGCAAGCATAACCTCACAAAATCTGAGACGCTGTTGATAATCATCCGGGTGAAGAGATTGAACAACCTGTATTTTATACGGGTGATATCGAAGATCTTGATGGAGAATCCTTCTCACCGATCTGTCACTTAATCGAAGGCGTGTGGCGTGACGGATGGCCGATCGACGTGGACTTCTTAAAATGGCTTGTCGAACACGTTCAATATTTTCAGGGGTTCGAATCGTTCTGGCACTACCACCTCTTTCTCTAGACGTCGATCCAGTTTGCTCGAGGTTGTTTAGCCACATTCGAATCGCATGGTCTGACGGAACCGGTTGGTTACGCGGTATGTTAAAATGCCGTCTAAAATCTCGACGCGTTTGCACTAAATTCTCGCCATTTTGGTAATAAGCCTTAATTGCGTAACCGCGATGCTCACCCGTCCAACGCTCCATTGTACAATGGCAAGCCACTCGGGTCCCGACAGGTCTGTGACTGTCCTCGCTACCACTTCACCGCCCGCTGCAAACCCCACCCCAAATCTTCCCGTTTCATTGCCGGACCCTGTATATTACAAGTAACAGCTGAGAAAATATGCTACAGACAGGGATATTTATGAAACGTAAAAAAGTTGTAACCTCTCTCCAGAAAAGACAACATATAAATAACCCGCCGGGCACAGCTAATAGATAATACTTCATTGAAATCATATTCAGTAATAATTTTCTTACATAGCAAATATCACCAATATTATACGCATGCAGACAGATAGACATAATCATCCAGTTGCCATCTTGCTACTCAACCAACTTTCTTTCTCTCGCATCTTCTCTGAGATCGGCTTTCTGCAACTAACAATGCATGTCGTGTCGTTGGGTCTTTCCTCCATCCTCCATAGATGGACGCTTTTGATGACGATCATAGCAAGCAAATGTGGAATGAACTATTTGCGCACTGTCTGCAAGATGATGTCGGTTTTTTTTACGTTTTTTACCTAATACGCCTGCATGTTAGGTGACCACACAGGTGAATAACACATCGGGCACATCTCAGCTGCGGGAATGAAATCGAACGCACCCTCAATATGCTGGGGCCTGAGAGAGTTAACTTCTAGGTGACAAGTATGTTCTATGGGTGATGGTGTCCTATGTTTTGTGAACACGTTTTTGTTTGAGGTTATATTTTCTTCGTTTTTTGGTGGTTTTCTCAAATGTGTTTAAAAATTACTTAATTGAATATTTTATATACTAAAATGGTAAATACTGAAGAAGAAAATTTCCCACGTGGAGGCAAAAGGCCGACCGCAACTGTAAAACGAAAACCTCAAGATGACAATGTGAGTATTTAAGTATTTTACTGATTGGATTCTCGATTTAACGTATTTGTCGTAGCTCTTTGCAATAGCACGACCACCAAAGGCAAAAAAGCAGAAGAAAGCTAAACAGGCGAAACAGGTTTTGAGCGAAGAATCTTTTTATTCACAGTTGAAGCTACATGGTTCTTTAACTTATCATGTAAGTCTTTTAGCGAAGTTCCTGTGCAAAGAAAACAGTTATGAGTTGAAGTAGACAACTAAGCATATACTAAATTGGTTGATACAACTATTTTTCAATTTGTAAAGCAAATGTTACTTCAAAGATTGAGCATTTTCCAACTAAAGTATGACTATAATTTCAGAAAATCCAAGATGGTATGATTATCCTTGGTTGTATAAGGCATATTACTACATTTTCTTTAGAAGTGGAATTGCCAGGTCTCACATTTGGCCATGTGAAAGTTACAAACATTTCAGATCCTTTCACAAAATATTTAAACAAAATGTTAGAGGAAAATGATGAAGAGGTAAGTTACAGTTGCATCTTTGTAATTTACTGCTATCCTAAATATTTTAATTAAAATACTGACACCCACATTTCTAATGGAAGAAATTGTAATATTTATCATGTTTCCCTGTTAGCTAAAATCCTGACTGAAATATTTACTTAATATATGATATACTATCAATTTAATTTTGCTTTTTCATATACAGGGTGACTTCGAAGTTGAGTCATTTATTTTAACAGCGAGTAGATCTGATCAAAAGAAATGTTTTTTTCCTTTACCATTTTTCTGGTAAAATTAAAGTAACAAAGTTATAGCCCTTTGGAAGTTTGAGTACCGCCCTGTCTCAATAATAATATTATGTGCTCGTGTTTGGCAACAACGGATATAATCCGCCTTATCGGTTCATCGCATCGGAAACAAAAAACCGAAGGAATTTGGAACGATGTTTTTACAATTATTTTATTCAGTTGTATACAGTCAGTGTCAGTCGGTAACGCGTGAGTGAATAGTGGTGTCTGTTGCGTGGCTCAAACGAAATAAAAAATGGCACATGTTTATGCAGATCGGTTTCCCAATCGAGTGCAACCAACCCCTTGTGCCTTTGTTAATGTAGTACAACGGGCTCGTGAATCAGGTGACTTAAGACCTCACAGGGGACGGCATGCCGGTGCTCCAAGACCTGACGATCAAATACAGGTCCGCACTGAAATACTTGTCGGGAGGATATTTTATAAAACAAGGTAAAAATTTTTTTTTAATTTTTTTTTTATTTTTACACACATATTTTGGTTTATCTTCCTTCTACAATCATTATCTGAAAATTAAGGACTCAACTTCAAAGTCACCCTGTATATACTGTAGCAAACAGAAATTTAATAACAGCTATTTTTATACAAACTGTTTTAAATAATATAGTGCTATTTCAAAATATACTTTTTTGTTTTAGAGTGATACAATACTGAAAAAGATATTCCAAGTAGGACAATATTTGGTGGTTAAAGTACTGAAAGTAGAGCATACAGACACCAAAGTCAGTGTTGAATGTTCAACAAACCCAAGAGATATTAACATTGAGAAAGGACACACGTCATTCAAAAAAGGAGTTCTTGTTTGGGCCTGTGTACAATCCCAGTTGGATCATGGATATGAAATGAGTCTGGGAGTAAAGAATTGCAGAGCTTTCTTACCTAATAAAAATGTGGATCAAGACATTACCCTCAGTAAGTTATACTTTTTTTGTGAATATTTCCTGGGGTCAAATGTCACATGGTAAATATAGCATGCAAGACTACTAAAATCTGCGCAAAGCTCATAAAGTATCTCCTTGTATCTCATGATGTACATTTTTCATTCTTGTGTCACAAACAAGAATATATCACATGTGAAATTCAAGAATACCCCCTCTCCTGCCACACCAGATCTCCATTTTCCCTCTTTTTTCCTTCTCTGATTAAAATAAACATTGGGAGAATGCTCTATTTGTATATCAAGCAAGAAATTTATGTCTCTGAGTCTTCTTTTTTTAACAGATATAGGGCAGCCCATGTGGTGTGCAGTTCATAAAAGTGAATCAACAAGTGTAGCATCAACATTGAGACTGAGTGCCAAGCAACAGCATATCAGTGCCAATAAAATTGAAGAGATAGGCAGTATTAATGATTTAATACCCGGAATGCAAGTTAATATGTTGATTGAGAAAGTAAGGGTTTAGACATAGTAATATATTAATAATGAGTGATTTCTTATAAACCATGTCTAATATACAGAATAAGTAAATTAATATCCCCATTTGCATTTTACTCAGTTTGCATCATGATAATAGGCATTTAAACTCATTTTACAATTTGATAGTGTTAGCCTCTCATACTGTGCTTTACAAAAAAGTCCCTCCATCCCTATTTATTTTCTGAATGGGTTAAGTAAGATAGCTAGAAGTAGCAATGAAGTTGAAGCATGAAAACCATATTTTAGCATGAACGAAGCAGTTGAAAATGTCAAGATGGCGGCTGGGCTCCATTTTGGAATATGTTTTAAAGGGAATAAGCTGACATGTGATTTTTAATTTTGAAGCTTCTTATGAGAATATAAAATCACTATCTTCCAAAATGGTGATCTGTTAGGCTGTCAATGTAGAGCATTTTTATACACATTTAATTGCTTATAATTTGACAATCAGTCATCAAAATGCTATAGTATGCTATATCCCAATTTTCTTCTCCTGAAAGGATCTATCTGAGCATGCAATGAAATGTGGAACATTCCATTTAAAAGTATTGACAGATTTTGTCAATTTTTTTTTAATGGGATCTCTCGTATTTTTTTGTGCATTCACACAGACTCACCCAACATATAACATACTGTAATGTTTTGGTAATGAGTTGTCGAGTTATAAATCTAATGTATAAACATGCTCAACTCTGACATCCTGTCAGACTGCCTTTTTGCAAGATAGTGATTTTATATTTTGGATCTAGGGTTATAAAGCACTCATAAGGAGCTTTAAAATAAGACAACTCTCATTCCATTCAAAACTATTGTATAAGGCCAGCCACCATCTAGAAATTTTCAATGGTTATTTTTACATTGAAATATAGTATTCATGTGCTAATTTCATCACCCCTCAGCTTTCAAACTTCACTAATTCAAAAAATAAGTATCGTGGACCTTTCTGAAAATCATTGTATAGCTTATATTATAAAATAGCTTACAAAACAGATTAGTATATATACAAAGACTACTATAAAAGTTTTGCAATACAGCTTTATTTCTTGCCTTTGTTCAAAGTAATTTCCACCACATTCAATACACTTCTCCATCTGTTAAAACCAGTCCTTAAACCAGCTCTGCCAAGTTTCACCTGGGAGTGCGGCGCCCTCAGAAGGTCCTCATCGCTAGAAAACCGTTTTCCGTTTAGCTTCATTTTCTTTTCACATGCGGAAACAGTGAAAAGTCGCAAGGAGGCAGATCTGGATTGTAAAGAGGTTGCTCAATAAGTTTCATACCAGTAGTGGTCAAATACTCAGTGCAGACTTTGACACGGTAAGCTGGAGCATTGTTATGGTGGAGGTACCAAGTGTCCATTCTTGACTTTGACCGCAGGTTTTTCATATGACTTTAGGCAGGCACTGTTCCATGTACCACTTAGCTGTGACTGTCCTCTGTGTGTCTAAAACGACACGCTCCACAGTCCCGCTCATTTTTTTTCTTAACAGTTCGGGATATTCTGACAGCTACGGGTAGGTCCTCATCATCAAAGACCCATACTTTGTTTTGAGCCTTGGTCGGCACATCGTAATAATAGAGCCAAGTCTCGTCACCTGTCACGATGCTGTTCACATACCGAGATTGTCCCTTATCAGACATTTTCAACATCTTTCGGCACCAACGACCACCACGAGTCTTCTGCTCTTCCGTCAGACTATGCGGTACCCAGAGAGAACAAAGTTTCCTTACGCGTAAATGGTCATGCAGAATTGAATTAATTGCCGATGTAAGGTCTCCTCTATCTATTGCAGGGGCAGCTGGCACTTAAGTTCTGCAGAGCTGCAGAAATGTCAAAACTTTTGTTTTAACAGAAAAAAGCAGTAGTTTCATTATTTATTTTCCATGTTATCACACAAATATAAACAATACCGGCCTGCACCCGCAAGACACGGCGTCGAGTCTGTTTTGTACTGAGAAAGCATTATAATCAACCAGTTGTGTACTTGTCATTTTCGTAGAGACCGCAGCGTAATACTATTCATGGGCCACTTGAAAAGGGTCTGTGCACTACTTCGACACAAGCCGCACGCGCTTGCTTTTGTCTCTCTCTACAAAATCAAATGCGCGATTTAAGCATAAGCATGTCCTGCAATTTATACAGATCCGTACAGATCTAATGCGAAGTACGATATCTGATTGGTCGGTCGGTGCTCGGTCCTCGGCGGTATTGGCATATTGGTCTTGTCGCGTGACGTGGGTTAAAATTTAAATGCGAAAAATTTTTTATTTAGGTATTTTGGGTCTTACGTTGAATGACTAGTGACTCACTGACTGACTGTGGCTGTGTAGAAGGGTAGTGCAAGACAATAGATGTGGGTTACAGACTTATCAGCGTGAAACAATTCTGGAAATACACATTTGAAGAAAAAATTGAGCTGAAGATGTCAGGTCGACCGCTGCCGGACATATTTATAGAAACACAGGGCGTTAGTCGGGGCAAGGGCTATACGCGGGATTTCAGCAGGGAGATTTACATCAGAAGTGACTCAATTTGTGGGTGCAACAGGAAGAATGCCCTTTTCTGCTTTCCTTGCATACTTTTCGGCGGTGACAAAGCTTGCACGGATTTAGTGCACCTGAGTGAAAAAATTAAGAAGCATGAAAACTCTAAAACACATGTTCATAATTCGATGGAATTGACTTTATTGGGGACTGTTAACATCAGAGCTCAGTTAGATTCAGCATATTGGAGAAATATACAACAGCATAATGATACCGTTACAAAAAACAGGTACATTCTATCAAAAATAATCGATTGTATAAAATTTTGCGGAGCATTTGAATTGGCGCTACGGGACCACGACGAAACCGAGAGCTCCCAAAATCCGGGAATATTTCGTGGACTGATTAATTTTTCTGCTGAGCTTGATACAACCTTAAGCGAACACATCAAAAAATGCTTCAATATTTAAAGGAACTTCGAAAGAAATACAGAACGATCTACTGGACTGTATTCTTGAAGTTTGTCATGAAGAAATAATAAAACATATTAACAGAGCCTCGTATTTGGCGATAATAGCAGATGAAACAACGGACATTTCGGGGAAAACCCAACTGGTAACAATTTTCAGATACGTTTTTAACTGCGAACCAGTAGAACGTTTTGGGAATTATATGAATCCCGAAAAATGTGACGCTGATACTCTCACAAGACACACTTTGAGCGTCTTAGATCCATTAATAGGAAATTTCCCTAAAAAACTGATATAATAATAATAAATGTCTTTATTAATCAGCATACATCAGTGAGGCGAAGTTTAGCCAAAAGGCTACTCTTACACTTAACCTCACTGTGTACGAAAGAGTAACACAGTTAAACTCGATACACAAACAAACAATAGTAATAATAAGAAAAAGAAACAAATGCACACTTGAACTATTAATATAATAATAATAATAATAATAAAGTGTCATAAAAATAAAACAAACCAACAACTCAAACACTGAGAGACGATTGCATCTCCAATAGCTGTTTTCCAACTGATTTCTTAAAAGAGAGTAAACTTTCTTGTTTGTTAGCCGCACTGACTGAATTGTAAAGCTCAACAGCATTATACGTGAAAGATCTATGATATAATGAGGTGTAGTGAAGAGGAATATTGAACTGTTCATCATGACGTAACCTTCTTGAAATTAAATTCCTACGCGTAACTAACTTATTTGCAAGGTAAATAGGTCTCTTGGTAACGACTGTTTTATGTACAAAAACCAACATATGAAACTTGAAAAGACTATTGAGCTTCAGCCACCCCAGCTCACAGATCTTGGATGTAACATGGCTATACCTACGAAGGCCGAAAACAAAACGACAACAACAATTTTGAATTTTCTGCAATCTGGTTTTTGTTATGGAGTCAAGACCAGGATAAAACAGTAAAGCAGCTTAGACATAACTAAACTTTCCACCAATTTCTTTCTAGTCTTGAAATTGAGAATAGAACGATTGGAGTATAGGAGTCTTAGGCTTGCATATGTAGCTTTAGATATATTACTGACGTGGTGATGAAATCTAAGATTTACGTCTAAAGTAACACCTAGACTTTTTGCATGCGTGACGAGTGGAATATGGTCATTATTTACCCTCAAATCAATCATCCTTTCAAAATGCTCATAGCTGGTTTTAGGACAGAACAACACCGCAAAACTCTTGGTAGGATTGAGCTTCAAACAGTTAGCCTTGCAATAGTCAGTTATATTTACCAGATCTAAATTTATTTTATACGAAGCTTGATCCACATTAGTAGAGTCAAAAGTGAAGGTCAATTGTGTATCGTCTGCGTAAGTATGAATACTACAAAACTGTAATACAGTATGCAAGTCAAAAGTATAAACTAAATATAGTAAAGGACCAAGCACGGAACCCTGAGGAACACCAGAAGCAACATCGGCACTAAGAGAAACTCCTTGGCTTGTTCTTATTCGTTGCTTGCGATTATTTAAGTATGATTTAAAAAAGCAAAGAGGAACGTCAGATAGTCCGTAGTATTTTAATTTGGATAGAAGCATTTCGTGGTTAACCGTATCAAATGCCTTTGAGAAATCTAACAACATGAGCACAGTGTAAATATGATTGTCTAAGTTCGAGATAATCTCATCAGTTACGTGTAATAATGCAGATGTGCTGTGACCACTACGGAAACCAGACTGACAATTTGGAAATATGTTGTACTCTTCAAAATATTTTACCAATTGCATATAAACAATTTTTTCCAATATCTTTGACAAGGCACACAATATACTAATGGGTCTCAAATCCGAATATTCTGTAGGATTATTATTCTTAGCCAGAGGAGTTATAACAGCCTCTTTCCACAAACTTGGAAATACTCCTTTTTCTAAACAAAAATTGACGATATGTGTTAGATGAGGTAAGACTTCAGGAATACACAAATTGATCATTCCTATGTTAATTCCATCACAACCAGTTGCTTGAGATTTGATGGAAATTATAATATCTAAAACATCTTCTGGGGTAACTAAATGAAAGTGAAAGAGCGGAATGTCTGAACTAAAAGAACTTGAAATATATTCATCTACCGTACGATTTATAAGACGGGAATTAACATTATGGGATATAAAATTTGATAAAAAATAATTGTTAACTTCATCAGGATTGAGCAAGTGTGGGGGAATTTCTGTCTTATTTTTTTGGTAAGCTCCAAAATTTCTTAAGTGGTTCCAAAATTTTTTAGGGTTTGACTTTTCGAAATGAGCTAAATATGCTTTTTTCTCTCTTTTAAGTGCAGCAAGTGCGTGATTACGCAAAATTCTGTAGTTGATCCAATTTTCTTCAGTTGAATCATGTCGAAATTTGAGTAAAGCTTCATCTCTTTCCTTGAAAATACGTTTCAAGGTTGGGGTTAACCAAGGCGATGCATTTTTCGTTATACGCGCTTTACGAATAGGTGCATGTGTATCGAAAAGAGCAATTAAACTTTCAGTGAAAAATAAAACCTTTTGATCGATATCATTAATATAAAAAATTTCATCCAATACATTAAGTCTTAAGTGTGCTTTGAACAAGACCATATCAATATTTTTCAGGTCCCTATATTCAATAAATTTTGGTGCATTTCTATGAGCAGGCATTGCTAATTCACAAAAAACTAATCTGTGATCAGATATTTGATCTGCTGCTAATGTCCCAGAGTTTAAAATAATATTTACATCATTCACAAAAATGGGATCTATCAATGTGGAACTGAACTGCGTAATTCTAGTGGGCTCGGTAATAATCTGAGCATAATTATATGAATCAAAACATCTATTTAGAAGGTTCTAATGATTGAACAGATCAATATTTACATCACCCAAGAAAATAATATTGTCATACAACGGAGTAAAAAATGGCATCATTTAAATTCAAGTGAGGAGGGCGATAGGCAACCACGACCAAAAATGCAATGTTGTGAAGTTTGAACTTGTAGCATAAAATTTCCACAGAGCTATTAATAGCAACATCAATCTCTACTATTGAACAATTTAGGTTACGCTTCGCATATAGCCCAACACCACCTCCTCTGCTCACCCGATCCTTTCGTAAAAAATCATACCCTTCAATTGAAATTACATCGTTAGGTGTACCGTCGTTTAGCCATGTTTCAGTCACTGCAGCGACATCAAAGTGATCTTTAATCATGTGTGTAAAATCATGGAAACCAGCTACTAGAGATCGTACATTTAAATGACAAATTTTCAATGAAATCGAATTAGCCATAGGCCATAGTTCACTTTTTGTCTGAGGTTGTCCATATAGTATTGGCGAGCTGCACATCCTCCGAAGTTTGAAGAGTGGTCCGTTGGTAGATTCTTCTTGTTAGTTTTGTTATAATTCATACAGTTAATACACTGCAAGACATTAGATTTACATTCCTTCAGAGAATGTTTTCTGGTACACCTGGGGCAAGTGAGCTCGGACTTGCATGTTTTATCAGTATGTCCATACCCACTGCACTTTGAACAACGGATTACACGTAAGTGATCATAAATTGGTGACTTCTTCTATCCAACAAACAAACTCTCTTTCTCCAGCAAAACTTTACGTAGTGAAGGGGTTACTTCAATTATGATGTGAGACGCATTTCCATATTTCAGATTAGTTACAAATTTTATATCCTTCTTTTCTGTGTCAGTAAAGCTATTCAATGAAGTGATACTAGAAATGATATCTTCGGGAGTGTTCAGTCCGTTTAAATTTACGTTTTTTACAAGCAACCTGGGATTCAATTTCTTTGCTTCATTGATAGTATAGTTTTCACCAAATTTGCTGGAAAGAGTGTTTTTAAGAGTGGCAAGTGAGCTATCATCATGACAGAAAACAGCAACTCCATTCTTGATTACACGGGTTGTATTAATGCGGACGTTTAAATTACTAGGATTAATCGATGACGTCACTTCATCCATAATACGATTTGAATTAGCAACTTCAGAAGAAGATTTGATAATTAGGACGGAAGAATCATTCTTGACTGGTTTTTTCAGCACATCACTGTATTTACTAGCTCCCGGTTTTGAAGGATACGTGGGAACAACATTGCCTGCTTGTGAGCTAGAAGTGGAAGGAAGTCCCAACTTCCTTTCATTAGACTCCAACAAGGACTTCTGTAATGTTACCGTGTACTCTAGGTCCTCCAGCCGTTTATGTGCCGAGTTCAGTTCGCGGTTTAGACACTCTACCTCTTTTTGTAATACCACAACTTTCGCATTATATGACTTATTGGAAGGGAATGATTTACATTCATCACATAGCCATAGCAAATTGTTGCATTCTAAAATAATTTTCATCCAATTATCTTTAATCGAAACACACGACGGATGAAATTTTAGGTTGCATGTACCACATTTAATAGATTTGGTGGAAACAATAAAGTTATCATTGCAGACCTCGCAGACGTCTACTTCAGGTGCCATGATGAAATCATGGACCTAATCTACTGGACTATCCACAAGAATCGTAAATACAAACAATATTTTTGCTTCTCACAAATATTCAACCAAGCAAAAAAGAAAATAACACGCGATTATGAACTCTATTGAACGTACGAATAAGGAGAAACGCTACTAAAATACAAAATATTCAGTATGCATTCAAACCTTCGGGTATACAAGTTGCACTGCACATTAGAGACGCATTTGCATCACTTGATGAATTTTCGCGGATGATTCTACATATCACAAAGCTATGATGTAGCCGCGGTAATGAGCGAACATAATGCTGGAGTACAGGCAATAATTAAACAAAGATATCCATTTGCTCACTATGTGCATTGCTATGCGGATCAATTAAACCTGATTATGTCCCAAGCTGCTTCCGCAAATGCTCAAGTTCGGGTGTTCTTTGGGGATTTGAAAGATATTCCGGGATTTTTTAATAATTCTCCTCAACGCGTAGAGGTACTGAACATAATTGTTGGGAAAAAATTCCCCAACGAGCAACAACTCATTGGAATTTTAATATTCGAACAATAAATGTAGTGTTTGAGAACAGAGAATCACTCATTGAATGCATGGAAGAAATAGAAGAAAATTTCACTAATGAAACCGTTTGCAAGACAGCTTGCGATATTCGCCGTATTTTAAACGATTCTGTTTTCGTGTTTTGGTTGACATTTTTTCATCATGTCATGCCTCACGTCGACATCTTGTTCAACCAGTTGCAGAAGAGAAAAACCGAGCCAGTGCAAGTTAAAACCGCTATCGATAATTTTGAAAAATGTATTGTCGATGTGAGAAATAAAATTGATGACATTATAAATGAAGCCAAAAGTATTTGCACTGAACCCCAAGGCAACAAAAGGAGACGACGTAATAATAGCAGTCACGATCACCGAGTTGCCGCATTAGAAGTATGCGACAATATAGTAAATTCTGCAAATGACAGATTTCAATTCAAAGATCATTTGGTAGCCGCATCCCTTTTTTTCCCCGAACACTTTGGAGAATAATGTGGTAAGTTTCCTGATGACAAGTTGGAAACTACCTGTTTGGCTTATCCCGAATTAGAAAAAAGCCGTTTAAAGACATAGTTGTCTGTTATTTATGCACGGAATGATTGCCGAGATTTACATGGAACTCTGTCTGTCTTCTAAGCAGCGGTCTATGCTTAAACCACGCGTAAAGTTATTCCGTAGAACTACCCTTTTCTCACTACGTGACCACGATGCCATAGTCCGCACTTTACACTGTCAATACGAATGAACAACTTAATCAACAGACGAGCTGCTGGCTACTACTATGCACTCATGGACATGTCTCAATATGCAGCGTCCTGCGTCCGTTTGTTAAGTCATATTGCAAAACTTTTATAGTGCCCTTTGTATTATTTTTATAGGATTAAATTTTTATGTCTGACTATATTGCTAATTATATTTCACATTCCTCTTCACTTTAAGGTTACTAATAGGGGTCTACAATGCAAATTTCTTGAAGATTATTTTGGCTATGTACATGAAACACAGCTGAGTTCTCTAAAAAAGTCACCTATATATTATCCTGAAGGTAAAGTGGTAACAGGATATGTGTTGTATGTAGAACCTGCACTGAAGGTCACTCATCTGACCATGAGAAGTATGGAGAGTGTTCGAGAACCCAAACATGCTATTGGCGAAATACTAACTGTAGAGGTACCAATTCTATATCCTTTCCTACTTTTGTATTCGATACTTTGTAACATCTTCAACTATTAGATATGATATACAATTTTGTATGAAGAAGCTATTGCTTTTGTGTTGTAGGTGTCATCCAAAGCTAACAATGGGGTGTATTTAAAATTGCCAGATGATGAAAAAGGTTTTGTGACAAACAAAAGGCTGATAAACTCTTTGCCTAAACAAGCAAATGTAGATGTCAACAAAACTATCAAGGCAAAGTTTTATCCTGGTATGGATAAATAATTGTGAATTTTTTTTTGTTGATAGATTTTTACATAAGGGTTGTTATTTCAGGTAGCAAACAAAAGAGTAGAATTTTGGATTACAATCGTATTTCTAGGCTTTACGTTTGCACTTTGGAACAAGACATAATTAAGGAGAAAACGTTTACCCTAAAGGACGTAAAAATCGGAGAACTACTCAAAGTGAAAATCACAACTACAAAACCTGAGGGTCTAGTAGTATCAGCTGGTCTTGTTACAGGGTTTGTTCCAAATTTGTATCTGTCGGATGCAGCATACAGTGACAATTTGAAGAAAAAGTACAATGAGGGGCAAACAGTCGATTCTAGGGTGTTGAGTATCAGTAGCGAAAATAATGTACTTTTTACTTTAAAACGAAGTCAAGTTGAAAATGATAAGTGCCTCACTTCCTTGGAACAAGCAAAAAGAGGTGAACAATACCCTGGCGTCGTAGCTAAAACACATTCTGGAGGAGCTTTTATAGTTTTCTATGGGAATGTAACAGGGTGGTTGGGTAAAAAGTATCTGCAAAGTGACTCTGATGTCTCTGATCCTACACAATATTTTTATCATGGACAGGTTAGTGGTATAAAACTCAATAACGATATCAGATTTATAGGTGTCATAGAAGTGATATAAAAAACGCCTTTCAGGTTGTTAATGTTTGGATAAGAGCTGTATTGGAAGATAAAGTCATTTTATCTTTGACCAAACCTGGAGAATACAAAAAAACAATAGAGCTTCCTATTGGTAGAAGAATTGCTGGAATAGTGGGTCAAGTACACAAGGATAAGCTCGATGTTAACTCAAAAAGCGGAAAGCTGTTGGGCACTGTTCCTATGAATCATTTAAGTTGCAGCTTGGATCTGTGTCCTGTATTCATGAGTAAGCAATAGTCGATTTTAAAATTGTGAAATAGACTGTTATATTCACTTTCGCGTGATTTTTAGAGAGGTTTACAAAAGGAGAGGAGATACGAGATTTAATGTGTATAGATAATAGATCACAACCCAATGTTTTGTCTAGGCGAGAAGGTTTAGTTTTCACCCGAAAAGCAAATACTAAAATAAAAGAGTTTGCATATCTCAGAAAATCCGAAATAATAAGGTGTTCTTTCGTGGAAAATGCTGATTCTGGTATTTATGTTATGCCACATATTTTGGACTACACTGAAAACGTTTTGATTAAGAATGAGGTAACTACATTATCTATTATAAAATCCATAGATATACTGTTTCATAAAAACCACTTTGTATAATATGTATTTTAATATTCCTCCATTTTTTAGGATATTGTCTCAGAAAAATCAATACCAAAATTCAAGCTGCACCAAAGTATACTAGCAAAAATAGTAAACATAGATAGAAAATCAAAAATTCTCCATTTAACTGCTAGGCTGGAAAAGGTGTTTGACAATAATGTTAAAGCGACTATGGAACTGTTTAGTCGTTATATAGTTGATAGAAAACAACTTATAAGTTATGGTAAAGATAATGACTGGAAAATATGTCAATATAACCCTGGAGAACGTGTAAAGTGCAAAGTTGAAAAGTTAGCTAAAGAAGGGGGATGTTTGGTAACGTTGCCTAATGGTGCACAAGGATTGGTAGCGTCTCACTTGTGCCCAAGTATGTATATCCATTATCCTTACACCTACATACAGGGTGGGGCAGCTTAACTTCCTTTTTTCAAATGCGCGCAATTCAGTCGGCTTATGTAGCGGAGCGCTGGTGATCTCGTTCGCGAGGTGGGGTTACAAAGTTTTTTCCGGACACAATTCAGCCGCCATCATTCATTGGAACAGTAAGGAGCATGCTTTTGCCATTGAGGCATACTTTTCGAGCGGATGTTCTGTAATGGCAACCCAGCATATCTTTCGGAATCGCTTTAATTTTGCCCTGTTGGCTCCGTTAGCGTTATGCTTGCACACATGCTGCTGCCCTTGGACTTCCCCCCCGGGTATTATGTAAAAAACCTATAAAACAGCTAGGTTTGCTCAGGATCGTTGTGAGCGTCCATCTATGGAGGAATGGCTCAACTACACGAACTGTTGGTTGCATATGTTTTGTGAAGCTGAGTAGTCTGTAGTTTTCATCTCTGAGAAGCAAGTGCGTTGAATGGCAAGAACGCATCTGGATGATCATGTGTATTGGACTGCATGTGTATAAAATCAGTAATATTTGATGTGTGAGAAAATCATTCATGCGAACAAGGTTTGAACATCAGCATCCAGAAAGACGTTGTCGATATAACGCCTGCTATTCTGGCAGTAGTCATGACAAACAACAGAAAAATCAGTTTACTCAGTGTGTGGAGAATGGAGGACGCCACCTATCTGATTTGATCTTCAAAACCATGTAAAACAAAACTTTTGGCATGCGCCTACATTATGAAAAACAAATAAAAATATTAAGATTCATAGAATGGGTTCCATTAAGTTTTGATAAAAGGAAGTTATGCTATCATCTGAAATTCCGTTTTCGAATGTTCCACAGTACCTTATCATAAGTGAAATATAGAAAGTTGTGTAGCAAAGATTATTTTTTTTCAGCAACGCTCACAGAAGGGCAGAAAGTGGAAGGAGTGTACCTAGATGTTGATTTGAGGGACGAATATGCAGAAATATGCCTAAAGAATAACATTAATCAGAAGATCAGTAAAAACCAAGGTGAGCAGATCATAAAATAGTGTTCTTCTTATTCTATGCATATCAATGTTGTATTTTAATGCTATGTTGTAATTTTACTTGCACACTTGCTTTTTGAAAAATGGTAAAGGAGCAGCTGAAACGTCAGTAAAATTATCTTCAAGGTATTTTAACTTCTTAATACTTGAAATATCACAACTACATTAATTTAATTTTCTATCCAAACCAAAATTTTGACCTTCGTTTTAGATGGAATGATTAACAATCAAAAAATCTCATCTGTCAGAGTAGATAACCTGCTGATCAAGACTGATTATGCCCTGACACTGTTGCGACATGGAGGTAACAGACAAATTGTCTACATTCCTCTACGTCTTCACGAAAACGACTTCTTTGGGTGTAAACAGACCTACAAGCAGAAACAGTTCAAAATATGCATATGTGCCAAAACTGTGAATTCAGTATTAGGAATAAGTAAGACGTTGTTTATGAATTTAGAGAAGAAACGTTTGAAAAAAGAGAAACATAAAAAGGAGGTTGCGACTACAAAGGCAAAGAAAAAATCGATAAACTCAAATGTGGATAAGAAAAATAGAGTAGTAATGGAGGACGAAACAACTAGTGAGAATGAAGCAATGCACGGAAATGAAGTTTCCGAAGATGATGATGAAGGCATAGGTAGTAAGAGTGTTGAAGAAACTGATGATGATGCAGATACTGATGATCATGACAAAGTAGATAATGAAATTGTTGAAAAGTTGAATGAAGGAAAGGATGCAGATATTGAAGAAGATATAGAGGCACATGAGAGTGAGGGAGAAGATATGGATGGGGAGGCAATAGAGCAGTGTAACGATTCTAAAGAAGGATCTGATGTTTCAGACAGCATACATGGCAGTGCAACGAAACCTGTGCTTTCTGGTATATCGTCATTTTTCAATGTGCAAACTGAAAACCAGAAGGATGAAAGCTCATCAGATGAAGAAGAGCAGGTACTATAGCATATTTTTTTTGAGAGATTTTTTTCTTTCTACTTCCTATGTGGGGAAAGTATTGTAATCGCGAAAAATTTCCATACCACTCGGATTTTGATGAAATTTGTACACGTTGCTACTACTATACCAAGAACCAAAAAAACTTTATAGTTTTTGGCAATCGGTTCAGTGGTAAGTACTGTTCGAAGTTGTCGCCGTTGGATTCAAAAACACATGTGGGTGCTCAACGTAGCCAAGCTTGGTGCAGGCTTTTAGAGTGGAGTTCCTTCCCCGAATGAATACAGCAGCTTGCTCAATTATCAGACGTAATTCGTCAACCGAGTGCACCTCAGTTTTGTACACCAAGCGTTTCGTTTCGCCCAAATAAAAAAAACACACGGTGGGGCGGTGCACCGTCATGGAGAAACCACATTGATTGTCTTACACTCAAAGGCACATCTTCTAGCAGGGTTGGTAAAATGTTCTGTAAAAAGTCTAGGTATTGTATCCCGTTCAACCAATTCGGGAGAATAAAATGTCCAATGAGCATGCCGTTTACCATGCCAGCCCAACCATTCACAGAAAATGTTTGTTGAAAGTGTGACCGACGCACTGCGTGAGGAATTTCTACTGACCACACGTGAGTATTGCTGAAGTTATTCACCCCGTTACATGTGAACGTGGATTATTCGTCTGTGATTAATATGCACTTCAAAAAGTCCGGATTATTGTCATGTTGGTGCAACAACCACTCACAAAACCGCACCCTTGCAGGAAAATCCTCAGCTTGGAAGGCTTGTACGCGTTGCACGTGAAACGGGTACAATCCCTCATCATGCAGCGTTTGCCACGCTTCAGTCTTTCACACTTGTACTTGTCTAGCCACGTCCCTAGTGCTTGTTGAAGGATTATCGTCTACGAGATTTAGTACTTCTTCCTCAGTTTGCACCATTGGGGGTTGTCTAGATCTCCCACTGTGCCCACCTCGACATTCCTCCAAACAACCCGTACCCCTGAGTCTCTGCACAAGGTAAACAAATCTACGGGACCTTGGATGATGATGTTTGGGAAAACGATCTGCATACACTCGCGAAGCCTCGGTCGCATTTTGAAGACACTCACCGTAAATTAAAAAGCATGACGACTAGTTCGCTATTGGTGGATGAGTGTGCCATTTTTTTAACCTTTTGAACAGCAATCGGTTACCAATGTAATAGTTTGTTAATGTACACTACCGGCGTCTAGGTTACGTTGCATACTAGCGTATTTACATCGTAGTCGTACGTGGTATAACTGTGCGCTGGCACTGTGGACGCGATCGTGGTTCAGGTTTGATTGAGTTTGCGGAGCCCAATATCTCGGTTCTCTTAAGACATTGGTGTATATGCTACTGAGAAAATCCGCTTATTTTCTCAAGATCTACGCGTCGTGTAAAGGAAAACCTCAACTTTGCGGACAGGCATACATTCAAAATATGATATAGAAAATAATTCGAGGGAGGGAGATATTTAACATATCAAAACTCGTTCCATCAGAACTCCTTGCAAAAGATCCTGGAGACTTCTGTAAATTACATTCAACTACTTTAAACGAAAATTTAATATTATGATTTACCCCTGTTACTTTTGCAGATATTAATCGATAATGAACTTAATGTTTTGAAGTTGATGATCCATGACTTGTGTCAGGTCTACCTGCTGAATTTCAGTTTTCGTTGGCGTATAGTATTCTTAATGCCACAATATGACGCAATGTGAGAGCATACATTCTCAGAGTATTCTGTGCTGCTTAACAATAGGTATTTTGTTTTGTAAAACTTCATTCCAATTAATTTTATAGATTGATACAATGAAGAAAAAGAAGAAATTAACAGCAGCAGAACGCGCTGAACTGGCGAAAAAAGAAGAAGAACGCATTTCTAAAATTGAGAGAGAACTAGCTGACGCTACCAAACCTCCAGAAAGTGCAGAACATTTTGACAGGTTATTAGTCGGCAATCCCAATTCTTCAGAGTTGTGGACTAAATATATGTCGTTTCATATTGCCAGTACGGAAATCGACAAGGCTAGGACAGTGGCCAAGAGAGCTTTGCAGGCAATCAATGCCACATTAGTCGAAGAGAGGCTAAACATTTGGTTGGCTTTGCTGAATTTGGAGAATATGTTTGGTACAAAGGCATGTTGAGATAGTATTATATAAGATATTTTAATACATTGAAGCATCGAACACGACGAGAGTTATTACGAACTTGCTTTATTACATTTTTGTTCCAGGATACTTTTGAGAAGACATTTGAAGACGCAGTCAAATACAACGACTCTTTGGCAGTTTTTATTAAATCCATACAAATGTTGGCAGAAGCTGGAAAAGTTGCTGATATGGAAGAAAAAATTTCCAAAGTGCGCAAGAAACACAAAGCTGAACCAAAAATGTGGTTGGAGATAGCTAAAACATACTATCAGATTAATAAGTTTAAGGAGGCTAGGAATCTGAAAGAAGCTGCACTTAAGTCCATTTTGGATAAGAAAACTCGTGAGTTTTATATTGCCTTTTGTTCAACATTACATGGGTTGACAAATGATTTATCTGACATGATCTGTGTTGACTTAAATATCAACATATTTTCTTTTTTATTCCAGAAATGGAACTAATAGTCCGTTTTGCCATATTGGAATTCAAATATGGTGAAGAAGAACATGGAGCAGCTATCTTTGAAACTATTTTGAGTTCAGAACCTAGGAAAGTGAACATTTGGACGACTTATGTTGATCAGCTGGTTAAGAAGGGTAAAATTGATCAGGCAAGGTAAGTGCTTCAAATATCGATCGTCTAACTCTAAAAATATTGATATTGCGGTCATAAAAACCTCGTTTTTGGATATTGTTGGGGTTTAAAGAAATCTTTGATATGCACTTTTGTTGCTGCAGTGATGTGAAATTTTTAAGGAAACGATATTTAAGAGATAATGCTACCAAAACTGGTACTTGATTTTCCATTATATTTTCTACTAGTGTGGGTTTAGGGTACACCTTACATAATTGCATTTTTAATTTTGTTTAACTCTGGCGCAAAAGCTAACTATTAAAATCTTTATATTTGGTATTTTTTGTATGTGGTTTTTCGATTACCATGCGTAATTTGTTCGAAAAATAAACAACGCGTCTGTATTTATCTGTTTCCCATTCCAGGAGGGTATTAGAGAGGTCAGTTTGCCAAAAACTGCCCCTAAAAAGCATAAAAACGCTTTTCCTCAAATTTAGGATGTTTGAGGAACAACATGGTACATCAGAAGCTGTAGAAGCAGTTAAACTGAAAGCAAAAGAGTATGTAACTAGAGCTCTTGATAAGCATTGAAAGCCTTGAATTTTTTAAACCATTTTTTTGTATTTGTTACGTGTATTTACAGATATGTTGATAATTAGGCGAACAAAACAGTATATTTTTATTAAATGAATGTTTTCATTTTTTTATTACCTGTGTTAAAAAATAAAGGATGTCCTTATGTTTTTTTTACTTTATATTGTTACGCCCATGCGGAATGAGGCGTCAGCGATAGGCGATGTATGGGTGAAGGTCGAAGCAAGGAGGCATTTTTATCATTAAGATTTTGGACGTTACGCTGATAGCATTGTTTTTGATCGGAAGATCTTTTTGGGCGTAAACACGTCAGAGTTATTTAATATAAACGTTATTATATTCCGACTGTGAGTTAATTATTTTACGTTATAATATTATTACATGTATCTTTATTTGCATATGCAATCATGGACAATAGTATGGAAAGATTTGTTTTCTGGTTCTTAATATTTGTCAATCAATAATTAATTACATACTAAAAAATAAACATCCACTACTAACAGTAACATTTTAGAAATAAATGAAAATACAAAATAAAACGAAGTCTCATATGTGATATATAAAGAAAACTCTTGGACAAAACTATGGAAGCATATTTTTATTAAGAAAAAAAAAGATGAACGTACAAATTAAACAAGCAATGTTCAGTAGAACTTCCCATAGATCATTCTCACTATGAATAATTCTTTGCCGAATTTTCCGCTCTAAGTGCTCCCAAAGGTGCGCAATTGGATTGAGGTCAGGGGATTGCGAAGGCCATTCCAGTAAATCAGCGCTTTTCGCTAAAAACCAATTTTTTACTAAATGGGATGAATTTTTCGGCTCGTTATCTTGTTGATACCTCCACAACAGCGGCATTTCTGCTCCGGCATAAGGTAACATAGTGTTCTGTAATATGTCGCGGTACATGAAGCGATCCATTTTCCCAGTTGTTTTCAGTATCAGGCCCGTTCCAGATGTGGAAAAACACCCCCAGATCATAACACTGCGACCACCATGCTTTACTTGATATAAATTTTTTTTCCGACAACTCTTACTAACGATCTTCGATCAGCATCAAATATTTTAAATTTGCTTTCATTCCAAAGCACTTACCCCAGTTTCTAGGTGTCCAATTTAAATGACTCCTAGCAAGCTGAAGTCTGGCCTTTCGATTCTTTTTAGACAGTAACGGTTTTTAGGCCCGTATCGTCAATCGTCCCTACAATTGTAGGGCGCCTTTATGGCGTCCTTGATTGTCATAGTTTTCTACTTCTCCGTGCCTAAGGCCCGTATCGTCAGTCGTCCCTACAATTGTAGGGCGCTTTTATGGCATCCTTGATTGTCATACTTCTTTCTCTCCTTAAAAAATTTCTAGATTACACTTGTCCCGTGTCAGCATCAGCGCTATCCTATTGCGAAGATATGTTTTCTTTTTAAATTGTAGGAAATTTCAGGCTTATAAAACATGATATAACTCAAAAGCAAGCACAATTTGATGCAAATAGATGTTTGTGACATAACCTCAAAATAGGGTTCTGACACGGAGAAGTAAAAAACTATGACAATCAAAGAGGCCATAAAGGCGCCCTACAATTGTCTTTTAATGGCCTGACTTTTGCCGATTAGTAACGTTTTCTAGTAACCGAAACTTTTTTAGAATTTTTAAAACGACACCCTGGCTTAAGTCTAAATTTCTTGTTATAGTACATTGCTTTAAACCCTGTCTTTCCAACTCGACAACTTTAAGTCGCAACTCTTTCGGCAAATACTTATTCTTGCCCATTCTTAATAGGGTGCTGGTTATAGCAGTGATACGACAAAGCTAATGCATTGATGTTAAATATGTAACAATGCTGATAGGAAGGTAGGAATGTCTATGGCACAAAAAGTAAACGTGTGAAAATATGTGATACCTAAGAAGGCATATAAAATGAACGGCACAATTTATTGTTGTATACGAGGCGAGTTGGAGAAATGATTGGAATAAAAATCTTTTGTCCATGACTATATGTTGCCCTACTGTTCAGATATCAACAAAAACTTAGTCATAACAACTTTTTTTATTACAGTTTAGCACAGAAGTTGAAAGCAATTATTTATTTACAATACATATATCATTTTATAACTACCCATATCCTAACTTAGACTCTTAATCTTTATCCTTTATATGTTGTGTAGCCATATGGTCCCAAAAGTAAAGGGATATGGTAAGAATCCAAATAGTTGGCACTGTCAAACACGATCTGAAAATAGAATTTTGAAGTATTCATTAAAATCTTAGGAAAAAAATAAGGAAAATATTAGTCTAGACATCAAGAGGATTTTTAAGCTACATAAACAGTGACTCACCTCTATGAATGGGTATAAGGTACTTTGTTTTCTTGATTCAAAGTACCTATCAACATCATAATGCAGCTTATAACGTCCAGGCGAGAAGTCACATCTCTCTAAAAAGTTACCAAATTTTCCTAGCTGATTAGTAACTCCTTCATTGATGTAAGTCCACCTTCCATCTATCAATTTATATAGACTGACCTAGAAATTGAATATAATAAAGTAATACATTACTTGAAACATCAGATTATATGTGGCACCAAATATGTTTGAACTTCCAAACTCAGTTTTTGCTTCTCATTCACAGAAAAAAGTAAAAATAGCTGGAGTACACTTGTTGGGGATGCAATATTGATTAGATCTTTTTTGAAAATAAAATGCAATGTTAAATTTACCTGAAGTCCAGTGACAGGTTTGCCTCTAGTAGAATCATTAACTGTTGTCGAGATTGGCTCTTTATCCTTAACATCTTTGTTGACAGGAGTGGTGCCGGCAGTTTGTTTGTAGCGTTGTTGATCCTCTCCATCATCCTCATCTTCCTCTGTCACATTATCATGTTCTGAATCAGTTTCATTTACCTCTTCTGCCTCAACATATTCCACACCTGATTCAGCAACATCTTTTTCCCCCACCATCACTTCTATGTCAGCCTCACCATCTTTTTGATTATCTCCACTGGTACCCAACATTTTATTCTGGAATAAAATATTAATTCATTATATTTACACCTGTATTTGCATATGAAATATTTGCCATTCATTCCAGATGTTTTGCCACCTAACAGCTATATTTTTAATTTTTCCACAAGAATGCTAGATAATTTTTATAGTTATATAGTGGAAGCAGCATTTTTTTGAGGCTAGTAATAAATTGTAGTTACCTTTTTATTTGCATGGAGTTGTGCAGCTCTTTGATGGCGTATTGTACAGGTGTGTTTCAATAAACTGAGCCTATGAGCATGCAGGGTCTTGTGACAGTAAGTACAATATGCTCTTGTTGGTTGCCCCTCGACTCCTCTAAGCCATCCTAATACAGAAACAACAGTTTCAAAAAGAAAACAAATATTAAGGGCTTTTCTCTAGAGCTGTCCATACTGATGAGCAAAAAATATTTGTAAAATTTGATTTGAAACGAGCGAATTTTCTGTAAATGCAGGTTTTCAAGTTCCCTACGAGATCACTTGTATAGTTGTAAATATCAGTAGCCTCAAAATAGAACCTTGTGAACTCTCAAAATTATTTTTTTCTATATTTAGATACATAGGTTGAATACCTGCAGCTCAGTAGCATGCTTCTAAACAAAAAAAACTTACCTTTGAAATCCGGCATAGATTCCCATGCGGGTCTGTATGTCTGTTTGTAGTATTTTCCTCTAGAAAGATAAGTAGTTGTGTTCACAGTTGCATTGGAGGACGTAGCAAGCGCTAGGTTTTCGTAAGTTTCCACAAACTGCACTGGAATTACTTTGAATTGTGTTTCAGTACCGTCGTCTTCAATTACTTGTGTTTGATCTTCAGATTCCATTTTTTGTATTTTCTGCCGCCAAAATACCACAATCAGGAATACTACCAATAGCTCAAAAAATTACTAACAGTGTGATGGCGGCTGACGCCCTGCCGGGAATTTCATTTCTAGACTAGTCGTAGTCGAAGGCAATGTTGCCAGCCTTGTCTCACTCAAAATGGAGATACCGATGAACTGTGATATGCGCAAACCATTTTCTACCCTGACCAAAGAACAAAATGTATGATTTTCTGAGAAACTATTTATCAATACACATTAGTTCCATGGTGAAAGCTAAAGTGAGTCGCAAAGGCCAACACTTCCTCATGTTTTACCAATTCACAGATTTTATTTTCTAGAGCCATAATAGGGTTTTTTAAAGAGATAAACGCCTTTATGATAGATTTTATGTTTTTAACATCACGCACGCCTTAGAGAGGGATAAATATTCCTTTTGTTTTTTTCTATCGTACGAATGGTCGCGGACACATTCTTTAGCGCAGAAATTTGTAGCGGTTGGCATGCGCGAAAGGATGGCTCAGTGGACAAAATCTTGTCGCCCTATGCGTGTATAATGTTTCTAGATGATGTGCCGCCTGATTGCGCTCGACATTCTAATTCCAAAGGAAAACGGGTATGTGTTTGGTCAAGGATCGTAATTTGGAGTGTGACTGTCGGGTGGAATGGACTTCTCGCGAAAGGTCTATACTTAGCTTTTTTTTTATACTCCAACTACCACGAAGGCCCAAGGCTTAAGCATCCATTGGGTACCGTGGGGCTATAGGGGGATACATACACGAACATGCACACATTCTGGCTCAGCCTACGAGATCCGCCGGGTGGTACCTCCGCGTTCGACAGTCAGAGACCGTCTACCACCTACGGACAATCGCAACATCCATAGCCAAGAGAAAAATTTCTCCTGGGACGGGACTCGAACCCGCACAGCGCACGGCGACTGAAGAGTCTACTTTTGCGGCCACCGCTGCTGCCTTAGCTAATATATCATTTTATTTGTAGAAGTTGTACAGCTGGCAACAGAGGCGACTCGCTGTCAAGTAGCTGACACAAATGACAGACACGGTTTGACATGATTTTGACAATTGACGCTTGTTTGCAGCATGGACCCAAAATTGGAATTTTTGTTTTGATCGGAAAAAATTAAAAAATAAAATATGAAATTGCTCACACACAATATGTTGACTTCAAAATGTATGAAAGGAGTCAGTATCGGGTACCCTCTAGCTATAAAGGTAAATCAAATCGTAAGTACATATAACATTCAGGACTGCAATTTCTACCGATTTCAGGCTTTGGATATTAGGACTGTAGAAGTTGATTTCAACCCCGAGTTTGTTGCCAAAATGATACCAAAAATCGACTGGACAGTTTTGCACGGTGCAGCTGAAAGTATAGGACAGACGGACTTGCCAAAAGAAGTGGTAGACAACTATGAAAACAATGAAGAATTTTTAAAAAAGGTGCATCATGTTTTGCTAGAAGTAGATGTTATAGATGGTGAATTAATTTGTCCAGAAACTGGACGGAAATTTCCTATAAATAATGGAATTCCAAATATGCTTTTGAATGAGGATGAAGTGTGAAATGTTGCATTTATAAAAATTATCTGAGAATATCACTTTATTTATTGAAAATAAACTTACAGTATCATGCTTTGTCTATACTTTTGAGTTTATATGATACCAATGTTTTCATATTGTAGTACTACAATTATCATATGTTCCAATTAGCCAACACACAGATATCTGAAAATATATTGTACTATGTAATTTATAAACAAAACAAAAAATAATGACAATTTTATCAAAATTGTTAGTTACTTTATAATTTGATAAATTTCCTAAGTTTGGTCATCATACTTAAAGACTTTGGATAATGTAACTCTTCAATCTGATCCTCTGGTTTCCATATTCAGAGAACTCCATTTTCTGGCTGAATCAAACAAGTGTAGACCTGTTAATACTTGTCCGATTGTTTACATTGTGGTGTCAGTTGATTAAGCGCTTTTCGGGTAATTACATATACCTCAGTTTGTATTGATCTCTCGAAGCATAACGATGGAGTGGGGCAAGGCAGAGAACCGTATTGCAGTGATAGCTTTACATAAGTGTAATAACAGTGCTAGTCAGATTTTTGAACTCTTACGCGGCCTTCAAATATCGCGTAAATTTGTGTCTAGGACCATTCAGCGGTACAATGAGACGTCCTCTGTTGATGACAGGCCAAGAAGCGGAAGACCTCGTCAAGTAAGGACTCCAGCAGCCATCAAAGCCGTAAAAGCCAGGATTCAAAGGAATCCACTCCGGAAGCAGAAGATCCTATCCAGGGAAATGAAGATTCCTGTCCGGACGATGTCGCGCATCATTAAACAAGACCTAGGGCTAGGGGCTTACCGGAGACGTACGGGCCAGCGACTTACGGCCACCTTGCGACACATCAGGGCGACAAGATCCAAGAAGCTCTTGGAGAGGTACGCAGCTGGGGGATTCCGAAAGATTTTGTTCACGGATGAGAAAATCTTCACCATAGAAGAAAAATTCAACCGACAAAATGACAAAGTGTATGCAAGGAGTTCACAGGAAGCTTCGGAGATCATTCCGAGAGTTGAGAGAGGCCACCACCCTGCGTCAGTCATGGTTTGGTGGGGGGTGTCCTACGAAGGGGTCACTCAGCTCCATTTCTGTAAACAGGGCGTGAAAACAAAAGCGGCAAACTATCAGAGCGACATACTGGATCCTATCGTCAAGCCTTTAAGTGGTACATTGTTTGCCAACCAACACTGGGTCTACCAGCAGGATTCCGCCCCCGCTCACAAGGCTAAGAGTACGCAGCGCTGGCTGGAAAGCAATGTGCCAGAGTTCATTGCTGCGGAAGATTGGCCCTCAGGGAGTCCGGACCTCAATCCTTTAGACTACAAGTTGTGGGACCTGCTAGAGCAGTTGGCCTGCTCCAAAGCCCACCGTAATATCGAGTCCCTGAAAGCGGATTTGATCCGATCAGCGGCAGCTATTCCTTTGGAAGCTGTGCGTGCAGTGATAGATGAGTGGCCCGCGAGATTGAAGCAGTGTGTGAAGGCCAAGGGGGGACATTTTGAATAAAACTGTTTGATTATGAATTCTAAAAATGTTGTCGAATAAATAATATCTTTCATATAAATATATCTTATCTTGTTTCATTTTTATCATGAGATTATCATGGGACAGAACTTATGGCACGACTACGTATATGTTTATGAGCTGCTTTCCAATAGTTTTTGGTTTGATAGTCATATGCTCCCAAACAGTTCTAGAAACAATGCATGGAAATACAATAGGCTGTGGAACAGTCTTTGAGTGCTGAGCACTACTGAGTTACTCTTACTTTGAGCAACTCAACTGGGTCTCTTTAAAGCAGCCCTGGAAGACAGAAAACAAAATATATTGTCAGATAATTGTCAAATGTGCTTGAAAAAGACCACAGTCACAAGTTGTGACCAAAAATGAAACATCATACACAGTACTGCATTTTAAGGGGTCTTCTATGTATGATTTTTTTCTCGAGGGCTTCATTAAAAAAGCCTTTACTTAAAATTAACGTGCGCCAGTGGCGGAGATACAGAGGATTAGGCATTATTTTTCCAAATAAAAATACTATGACAGCTTTTTTCGAAACGCGCAATTTTTGCGAATTTTACCTTCTATTTGCTACAAGTAATTACTCTTGTTTTTCTCCTACAGTGCATTGTTTTCGTAAAAATAAACCAAATTAGATAATCCATGAAGAGCCGAGTTTCAAAATAAAATAGGAGGCCTTGATATCAACTTGATGTTTCTTGGGAGATAGTTTGTCAAAGTTGTGTTATACGGTTGTTATCGTTACTACTATCTTTTTTAAATCCGCATTTTGATTATGCAATTGCAGTAACCACTCACAAAAATTTCGCCATTGCACTCCGTCGCCGAGTTGCAGACATTGCACATTTTGCCGATGGTAAGGATGTAAAACTTTCCGATTTAAAATTCTCCATGCAAGACTTTGGGAACATGGTAACTGGGCTGCAATCCAACTAGTACTTGTGCTAGGATCATCCAACGCCAAATTAATCACTTCCAGTTCCTCTTGGACAGCATGCCAGACACCATGATGGCCTCTAACTCCGAGAAGTTTGGCAATTCCATATTGCCGAAGTCTTAGACAGGAACTCATAAAATCGTTTGGTGTAAGTTGCCATCTGTTAGATTACGTTGATACTTCCGAGAAGCCACTAAAGCATTTCCATTACAGAACCCGTACTCAAAAATAATATCGGCGTACTCATCATTGCTAAATTCCATTTCACAACTCTCAAAATTGGAAAAAAGAAACTTTGACTTACCTTTTACAAAAAAAAAATAGTTGTAACAATAACAACCGTATAACACATAACTTTTGAATGTGGAAAATACTTTGGTAGATCCAGATACCAAATTTTTGTTCATTACAGTTGACGGTTTTGAAGATATTAAAAAAAAAACGTTATTTTTAAACTTCAACACCCCGTATTTTTTCAATGAAGCCCTCGAGGGAAAAATGTTACATAGACGCCCCCCTTAAAATGCGGTCCTGTGTATGATGTTTCATTTTTGGTCACGACTTGTGAATCACCCTGTATATGTGGTTTTGATTCATCCTATATACTTACACATTGAAGCAGGGATTTCTAGCAAAAAAAATATACGGATTCTAAGAACATTTTATTGAACACACTTAAATTACATTTGAAAAGGTTTACAAAAATATCTGCAATGGATAAACTGGAAGAAAAATTGGACTACTCAAAACCTGCCATTTTCTGTACTTTCTGAGCTTCTGCTTTAGATCAGAAAAATATCACAAAAAAGCAAACAAAAATGGCTGGTATTTTCCAAATAGATTTGATCGAAATGCTTATTAGGGATTATTATGGGATAAAATGGGCGGCACACTTTAAAGGTATCCACAGCCATCCAATAAGTATGTAATTTTTTGTATAAAATATGTTTAGTAGACTAGAGAACACGTGGTTTTTTCTTCTGGTGATTATAGGTGTTTTTCCAGATTTGAAATATTTATGGATTGAGTGCCAATAAACATACCACTGTTTAAACTACTCAATCACCATAGGGAGGTTAAATAAGTCATTGATGCCAATAACTGATTAGCACTCCCTATGATCTTTGAGTTGATCATTTTTAAACACATGACTGACAGATCCTTAGGAGGACATCCATATACGGATTGCCATTTAGTTCATTTAATGCCACTATTTCTGCTTATTTCTTGTGAATCCTTGGTAAATAAATAGTGGAGAAGTTCTTGGAAATTGTCACTTTTATTCAATTCATTTGTGAAGAGCCATTCAAATGCCTCCATTTCTGGGATCGATTGTTTAATGAGAGAACAAATACATGTATTCCTGCTGTTTTCTAAAATACTGGTGTGAAACAATTTTTTGTTCAAATTGGGACGAGATTCATGGATTAATGTAAAGGTGTCCCTTGATAGAAAAAGAAAAATATGCAAGAATTTGTTCCAAAGTTTTTATAAGAGGTATCATGTCTTAAGAAATAAAATTGGTGAAACTAAACATATATTTAATGGGACCTCCAGCAGATATAGTTTCACCAATTTTATTTCTCAAGATGTTACCTTTTATGAAATGCATGGAACAATTTTGTGTGTGTTTTTGTAGTTTTTATATCAAGAGACCCCTTTACAATTTTATTTAATCAATTAATCTCGTTCCAATTTGGACAAAAGATTGAGTTTCTCATCAGCATTTTGGAGACTGGCAGGAATACTTGTCGTCTGTTTGCCTCATTAAATAATTCGCCAACGCAAAAAGGAAGACATTTCAATGGTGCTACACAAAAATAGTGGAGCTAATTTACGATTAATTAAATGGCAGTCGATTTTTTTTTGACCTCCACCAATAGAGAGCAAGTACGTGACGTCAGGTGAAAATGACCTATGGTAACAGTGGTACATACCATCTATGGAAAATAATATAAACATTTTACTATGATAATTTTTTAAAACTACTGCAAAATAAATCAGGTACTGGTTTATATAGATTTTTTTCTTGATACAATAAAACTTTAAAAAGAGATTCAAATATTTACAGTGAAACTTAAATATTTAAAAAAAAGCAAGGTCCTCTCTGTCATTGATATCTCACTTGCGAGTCTAGGCCTATTCTCGAAACTGTTTCTCCACATCACATTCACCAAATGACAAGAACATTGACACGAAGCAATACACAGCTATGCTATAAAATTCATAAAATAATTTTAAATATTGATTGCATGCTTATCACTTAAGAAATAAAATGTTTCTCTGGACATTCATAAGTACATAATATTTTGTAAATAAGCACATCAATCGATCCTCTAATTGTAGTATTCCCCTACAAAGGTTTTTGCCCCAACACTGCCACCACACTTCCAAAAAAAAAACTGATAATTGTACAACATTTAGTACCCAAGAATAAAATGCATATGGTTTCTAGTTCTCACTTCCTCCTAAAAATATAAATAATATGAGCTAAAATGCCAATGAGCCCAAAAGTAACGTCCAAATGAATATTGGAGGAATCTACATCTTCTGAGGTGCAATATGGCAAAAAATTATGCATGTAAATTTCTGGAAACCCACACTGTGTCTGTATTCACCTTACAGAGATCTATTGATATCAAAGATAACATGTCTACAACAAAATACATGAAGGCTGCTATTTCACCCTCGAATCTCCAATGACCATCGACTTCAGTTGCGCAAAGACGCTGCCTTTGGCCAACCCGCACTCCGGACCTTTCCGCAAATCCTTGTTTGGACCACAAGCTTGGTAGGTTCTATTGGATAATAAATGCTTGTTGGGCCCCTTGGCCAAGTTTGAAGATCCTCGGCGAAGGCTAGGATTCGGCCCTTGCCACTTGACATAATCCTCCCTTAAAAAAAGTCCATCAAGTGAGATATTCCTTACGGAAGATTGGAAACGCACATGTCCAACATGTACCAGCTTTCTTCAAATCTTAATTGTGTCAAATTTTTAGAATCACTTTCGAAGAAATTGTTTGTATATTTCATACGTACAGTTTTTACTTACAAAAGTAGTTTCTCATTTGCACCTTTTGCTAAAGAGTGGTTAGGCCCAGATGTGTTCAGCAAATTTTTTGATACAAAATTGCCTTCAGATTCTTCAACAACCCTAAAAATTTTGACTAAATTATCTATGGATTTTGAGGTGTTTGATGCACATAAGACAAGCATTTTAGAACGGCAAACTAAAAACTGTTTTAAAAGATGAATAGTATTGTAGAAAATGTACCTGCAATATGTTATTTTTTCCATGTCTTTTTCGGCTTTCATCAGTGATTTTATAGACTGTCGACTTTGAGATATTGGTATTGAAGCCTTTGTAGCAGAACCTTCTCCAGCATCTACAACTGTGATCTGTGTTTCTCTGAAAAATTACCAGCGCCAAAGATCTTTACTCAAATTGAACCTTACAACGTATATCAATATCATTGTGCTAACTTCCATATAAACTTACGCTGTCTTTTTGGCTTCACTATTCTGGGTATCTTCCTGTATCATAATTTGCAATATTTGATTCGCTCTGTCCTCGTTGAAATTGACACTTTCTAATGCAATTGTTATTAAATGCTGAGGTACATCTTTATATTTGGCCTGTAGATCATTTTTCACTGGAAAAACGTTTACTGTTATATAATAAATAGCAATGTTTGCACAAACTCGAACTAACACCGACTACGTTGAGTAAAACAGTTTACATCAAATCATTTTGAGGCGTACGTGTAATTCACGTCAATGAAGGCGATCGTTTGAGTAGCGACATTTCCAATGAACGCGACTAATGATTTCATGTTATTTTTCGCAAATTATATCCTTATAATTACTTTTTTTCTTCTCTTCATCACTTTTGACTTTCATAACTGGAGTCAGTGGTTTCACTGCGGTCTCCTCTTCTTTCTTTTTTTCTTCCTTTTTAGCCTCCATTTTCTGCTGTGCAATTTTGACCGTATCTTTTTTTGCAAAACCCATCTTGGTGAGATTCTCAGCCGTCTTCTGTATGCTATTCTCGTTGTTTTGCAACACGTCCAGAATCACAGTCTCATCGGCAGTGGGGAAGATCGATTTCATATACCTGCAACTGTTTTCCGTTAGTTAATGTGTTCATCGACATCGCATTTTACATCTCTAGGTATATAGCTTTACGCAGCCTAGCTTGTAGTTCGTGAGAAACAAATGATAAATAGTCAGTAATGTAGCAAGATTAAGTGATGTTATAATAATAAATAAAAGTAAACCATCCATCTAGGTGCTATACACCGTAAGTGACATGTTATACGAACGCTAAAAACGACGAGTTTTATCGTCGCGTTAATTTTGTTTTAATAGGTAAATAGCGTACTCGTATTGCAAATTATACGGTCGAAAGTCGCGCCAGGGCTGGCCGAGCGTGGAGCGCGTTGTACCTCTACATCACCTTACTGATAACAGAAAGCAGAGCTATAGACTTTATATAAAAAAGTGAAGCTTTCCAAAAACGACTTTATAAGAACAACATTAAAAATCCCTTGGGCCGCAAGAATGACCAATTCGGAGGTATTAACTAAAATCGGCAGAGATAGAACACTACTAAGGTATTACCAAGCGAAGCCTTTCTAGGCCACACACTATATTATTAAGCATTATTTTTTTATACTGAAGCAGCCGCGCAGGCAGATGCCAGGACACCGCGGCTATTATGAGGATCCCAAATAAACTTTGTTAATCAAATTTTTGAACCGCCTAAGGATAGTAGAACTGGGAAAGGCCTCGTGTAGCAGATTGTTCCACAATCTCGACACCCTAGGGACGAAGATGCGATCCTATCGGCCAGTTCTTGATGTACGAAGTTCGACACGGTTAGGAAAGTTCGACACGGTTAGGATCTTATCTGGGTATTGTATAGAGTGAGGGGCATTATGTCGAGAAAAGTACTTCTTAGCTCTAAACAAATAGCCTAGCTTTTTCCCAGCTGCTGCCGCTACCAGGCACTTCCACTGTATGAGGGATGCACTCCGCCATTCCAACGTGGACAATTTCGGTTATCGATTATACAGGAAATGGTGGATAGTAGAAAATGTGTCAGAAGGCAAAAAGTACCGGAATTGTTTCATACTGCTAAATATAGAAGGGTTTCGATTATTGGTTGGCAACCATCGAAACCAGAGTGCGGTAGAAGGATAAAGATAACATCGGTCAATACGATCTGGTCTCCGCGCTATTAACGTTCGTATAACGTGTTATTAACGCCTGTCTACTGTATATTTGTTGACGGAGATAAAATATCTACAACTACTTATAACTACCGATACCAAAGAAACATGATGCAATGATACACATGCAGTGCAGCCAAATCATAATCTATTTATAAGAATAATATGTCTTCATAGTTCTTAAACATATACACCAGACGTGTAAAAGAGGTTATATCTACTATACTCCTTTTGCGATTTTATAAAATTCAGAAAGTCATCAACGGTCGGTAATTGAGCAACAGTCAGGTGATCCATTGTTATTTTTTAAAATAATACCATGGAGTCAGGTTTGACCTACATTTGCTGAGTGATGATTAATTTATTATATATGATTGTACTGTTAAACTACGACATAGTACGGAAAACTGACGTGTTCAATAATATCGACGATAGTATTAAACTAACAAAATTTTCAAGCCAAGATATCTAATTGTTTTATGCAGAGGTCCATATAACATAGCCATGCACAGCTAAGCTACCGTTCAAATGATTTTCTACTAAAGATGGACCTGAGCTTAAGCTTGGGCGAAGACTGCGTTCTGGGACTACTTCTGCAGCTAACTGTGGCGCGGGTGGCACCTAATGGCGGAGTATCCCGCAGCCCTCTCATTTGAGGCGGGGGTGTGGCGAAGGGTCCCGGGGTGGTAATCGGATACTTCTCCACCTGCAACGCGCTTATCACCAGCGCATCGCGTTCATGGTACCTTTGCGGCGTGCGTACAGATAAACAGACATGTCACCAAAGCACCCAAGGCGGTGTTAGCATGAAGTATAGTGTTAGTAGTTTCTTTAGAGGTATAAACAGTTCATGAGGCTCAAAGATAAATTTTTTATCACCGTTTGGAATGTTTAGCTTCTTGGTCAGTACTACAAATACAGCCTTGTAACGAGTTCTTTGATTTATTCCTTTCAAAGTTATATACCTCTAAAAATACCAATACAAGTTGATTGCGGCACAGTCATATGAAAAGCTTGTGAAGTTTCTAGGTTTTTTATTTTAAGTGAAGCATGTTACTTTTCAAGTGCAAATCGTCGGCATAAAAAACCTACGTGGTTTTGTATGTTACGTACACACAAAAAAGGCTCATAATAAACATACAGGGTGACCCCGAAGTCGGCATCAAGCCGGCAAAGGGAGTAGGCCAAGTCATAATAACTATCACAAAAATATAAAAAATAAGTCGTGTACTGTTCAAATTATAGGCTTTAATAAGTCGGAAAATCAGAAAAATCTACACCCTGTGAAAATCTTATAGATCCGTTTACTCTCAGAGAACGATTCCCAAACTAAGCACATAGTGAAGGAAAAATGTCCTGTCATTACCAGGACGTCGTTCTACAAGCAGTCGAAGAAGACACGACTACTTCAGTACGTCAAATAGAAGCAAGCACGGAAGTGCTCAAAAGTACAGCCCACTGAATCTTGCCAAGGAATAAGCTCCATACCACGTACAGCGAGTACAGTCTCTACAGCCCCGGGATTATCTTCCAAGAGTCGACTTCTGTCAAACATTGTTACAGAGACACCGGAAAGATCCGCGATGTTTAGAGAAAGTTTTATGGACTGATGAGTCTACATTTAAAAAGATGGTTATATGAATCTATACAACTTACACGAGTGACATGTAGATAATCCACATTTGATGAGATAAGTCAGATCATTGTACATAGTCATGCCATAAGTTCTGTCCCTCGTTTTCAAACAAGTGTAGACCTGTTAATACTTGTCCGATTGTTTACATTGTGGTGTCAGTTGATTAAGCGCTTTTCGGGTAATTACATATACCTCAGTTTGTATTGATCTCTCGAAGCATAACGATGGAGTGGGGCAAGGCAGAGAACCGTATTGCAGTGATAGCTTTACATAAGTGTAATCACAGTGCTAGTCAGATTTTTGAACTCTTACGCGGCCTTCAAATATCGCGTAAATTTGTGTCTAGGACCATTCAGCGGTACAATGAGACGTCCTCTGTTGATGACAGGCCAAGAAGCGGAAGACCTCGTCAAGTAAGGACTCCAGCAGCCATCAAAGCCGTAAAAGCCAGGATTCAAAGGAATCCACTCCGGAAGCAGAAGATCCTATCCAGGGAAATGAAGATTCCTGTCCGGACGATGTCGCGCATCATTAAACAAGACCTAGGGCTAGGGGCTTACCGGAGACGTACGGGCCAGCGACTTACGGCCACCTTGCGACACATCAGGGCGACAAGATCCAAGAAGCTCTTGGAGAGGTACGCAGCTGGGGGATTCCGAAAGATTTTGTTCACGGATGAGAAAATCTTCACCATAGAAGAAAAATTCAACCGACAAAATGACAAAGTGTATGCAAGGAGTTCACAGGAAGCTTCGGAGATCATTCCGAGAGTTGAGAGAGGCCACCACCCTGCGTCAGTCATGGTTTGGTGGGGGGTGTCCTACGAAGGGGTCACTCAGCTCCATTTCTGTAAACAGGGCGTGAAAACAAAAGCGGCAAACTATCAGAGCGACATACTGGATCCTATCGTCAAGCCTTTAAGTGGTACATTGTTTGCCAACCAACACTGGGTCTACCAGCAGGATTCCGCCCCCGCTCACAAGGCTAAGAGTACGCAGCGCTGGCTGGAAAGCAATGTGCCAGAGTTCATTGCTGCGGAAGATTGGCCCTCAGGGAGTCCGGACCTCAATCCTTTAGACTACAAGTTGTGGGACCTGCTAGAGCAGTTGGCCTGCTCCAAAGCCCACCGTAATATCGAGTCCCTGAAAGCGGATTTGATCCGATCAGCGGCAGCTATTCCTTTGGAAGCTGTGCGTGCAGTGATAGATGAGTGGCCCGCGAGATTGAAGCAGTGTGTGAAGGCCAAGGGGTGACATTTTGAATAAAACTGTTTGATTATGAATTCTAAAAATGTTGTCGAATAAATAATATCTTTCATATAAATATATCTTATCTTGTTTCATTTTTATCATGAGATTATCATGGGACAGAACTTATGGCACGACTATGTATCATTTTAAAGTAAACATGGGTATTACGAATCTTAAAAAGTGAAATTTCGTCGTTTGTTTGACATTTCGTCGGTTCTTCTACATGATGTTAACTTAGCACAAGGTGTTGTACACTTGGTGTTTTGTAACTCTAAGTATTGCTTAAACGTCACTGAACAGCGATCATAGCAAGCAAACGTGGAATGAACTATTTGCACACTGAAAACTGCAAGATGTGACGTCTTTTTTATGTTTTTTTTTAAGTTTTTTACATAATAGCCGTGCCGGATTCTAAATGGAAGAATCATACCCTTTGAGCTGCCAGAGTTCATGAATGGCGAAATTTATTTAGACTTTTTACAAAATTATTTGTCAAATTTATTGGAAGAGTAAACATTTACAAAGACATGACCAGTAAGACTACAACTATTATGTCTTGGCCTATCCCTCGTTCCGGCTTGACGTCGACTTCTGGGACACCCTGAATAGGGAACAATTCCATTCAGCAACCAGTCTGAAGTCTTGGATTTTTGTTGATTAATTCCGCGTGAATTGAGGCCTTGGTAAAAGCAAATCAAGAAAAAACAACGATTAAGCATTGAGCTGCCTCTTTGGTCTTTCACAGGCATGCTCTTGTATATTGTCTTGCATAATAGCACATGACTGTGGAACTGACCCTCAAAAATTATACTTTCTGATGTTAGTGCAACACGCAGAAAATATTAAAATTATGAACGGGTTCAACAAGCTAATTAATATTTAATTAGAAATACAACAACCAAAAAAGTAAGAACGGTTAGGCCGCAATTATATACCGAGGTGGCAAGTGAAGGGCGATGCCGTTTGTGTCGGTTTCGCTGTGGTTTTTATGTACGCGTTTATAGTCTCTCGTACACATTGAACTCAAGCGGTCAGACCATTTTGGTTTTCAAGGTATAGTTACGATGACGAAGTGCAGTTTGCACTTGAAATAAGTTATTTTATTTTTTGTTTGTACACTTGCATTTTTTTTTACTCATTTTATGTGGAAATATTGTTTTTTGTATTGTATTGTGAACTACGAGTACGCAACAAACAAAATTTTGATCAATTTTAGAATGCCTAAAATTATTTTTTCATTTATCGACATATGATAGGTATCTATTCAGCTTTAATCTGCATGTTCAGTTTCTTATTGGAGTCACCGTCGATCAGAACATAATGCGCAATTCCTGTATTTTATTTTTTTACTCGTATCAACATGCGTAATGGTTGAACAGAAATAACATAAACTTTTATCAATGAATTACGTTTTTCCTTCCACAACCTTTTCATATTCTGTCCGCTTTTTTTCACGAAATCGTACAATATACATCAAGTTAGACTTTTAGTTTTGATTTTTATACATAACATGAAAATTAAAGCTGAAGACTGTACTCGTGCCTACCATTGCTATGAAGTTTTTCTTGATGGCGCACCTAACCTCTCATTTAAATAGAAGATATATATATATATATATATATATATACGAGTATATACAGGGTGGCCCATCCATGTGTGGACGGAATATTACTCATAAACAAATACATTTTGGCAAAATCTATTAATGGCATGTTATACATGACATTTGAGGGCACATTTCTATAATATCCCAATTTTGACCTACATACAAAGTTGTAATTTTTAAATGGAATGCCTCAAATTTTATTTTATATTTGGATAAACCAATTCAAAAGAATAAGACTGATATAACATACTATGAGGTTTTGATAATTAGCTACTGAAATGTTAAGTGTTTTGTCCAGAAAAACCGTCCACTTCGGCAACCCCTCAATCCGCCATTTTGAAATTCGGAGTGCTGAATTTTGTTCAAAAAAAAACTTACATAGCTCAGCTTTTATCTTATTTGTTACTTATGGTTGCTCATACAGGGTGGTCAAAAACGCGAATTGTACGTTTTCTCAAAAATTTCAAATGCATCACCCTGTATTTTTGTGCAAGTTTGGATTCATTTTTTTATAAGCTCTTTTTTTGTATACGGTTTGATTCAGATAAAATCACTAGATTTTGAGTTATTAAGCTTTTAATAGAACAACACACCAAAATTAAGGAAAAAAAAATCACATCATCCATGGAAACAAAAGAATAACAGTGGGCTAGTTCCATATTGCCACTAAGAGAACAGATTTGACGTAAAAACTAAAAACAATCAGAATAGTATAAATCAGCTTCAAGCGTAACAGAGAAAAACAACTATAACAACAGCATAAACAAACAACTATCACTACTCAAGACCTAATCTACAAAAACTGCTCGAAAATATCTCCACCATGTTGAATACACAGCCGTAGTCTTTGGATAAATGACCGTCGCACATCTCTCAGCATGTTTCCTTATGTTCAGAAAAGCATCGTTAATCCTTTCCTTCATATTTTCTGGGGTAGATGGTGGATATCTATAAACCTCTTGCTTAACATAGCCCCATAGAAAGAAGTCCATCGATGCCATATCTGGTGATCTAGGATGCCAAGATATAGGCCCATCACGACCGATCCAACGATTGTTACTCCAGGTGTCCAAATAGTTACGCACACGATTATGATAATGCGCAGTTGCGTCGTCATGTTGGAAGTACATATGCGCATCCGAGTTTGCAGGTTGACATCCTCCAAAAGCAAAGGCAAATGCTCGATCAAAAAATTCAAGCATTATGTACCTGTTAATAACTTGTCTGTCAGTAACTCCTCTCCAAACATTGAAGCTCCATTTATTTTGGAAATCCATTTGCCTAACCCAGTAAGGGTTTTCTGTCGCACAATAGTGCATGTTATGCCTGTTGACAACACCTATGCTGTTAAAAGTTGCCTCATCGCTAAAAAGAACCTTATCCGGGAAAGTAGTGTCTTCACTCACTTTATTTAGCATTATTCTACTAAACAATATTCGAGCTGCGAAATCCTGAGGACGAAGGTGATATGGATGATACCTATGCTTGTGAATAATCCTTTAGACAGTTCTGCATATATCAGTTCCTGCTCCAGTTTGCCGTGCACTTAAATGGGGATTTTCCTGCAACCTTAATAGAACCTCCAACCTCCAACTGATTCGCCTAATTGGCGACACTTGGATTATTTATACATTTTTTACTATATTCCACTGCTCCACTTGATTCAGAACGTTCTGGTAGTGTGGAAAATGTTACCGGCCTTGGATGACGCATATTAGGGTATCGGTGCTTATAAATACGAGATGCTAGGAAACTATTTCTTTGGGCATCGCCCAAAACGAACACCGTATAATCCATTTCTTCTTTAGAAAAATTTATTTTCAAACACGTTTTTATTATAATTCTCACAAAGCTAATTTTGATAGTTTGTAACTAATCAACAATTTGTTTCCAAGGATGATGCGATACTTTAGGGAACTAAGCCTTTCCATAAAAGACGTGCTAATAACCGAAAAAATAGCCGTAAAAACCCTTATGTGTCTAGTATCAGAAAAAAGCTTATAAAAAGTTGAATCCAAACTTGCACAAATACATGGTGAAGCATTTGAAATTTTTGAGAGAAACTACAATTTGGGTTTTTGACCACCCTGTATGAGCAAAAATTAAAATTCTAAAAAGTAACAAATAAGATAAAAGCTGAGGCGTGTAAGTTTTTTTTTTTGGTACAAAATTCAGCACTCCAAATTTCAAAATGGTGGACCGAGGGGTTGCCGAAGTGGGAGGTTTTTCTAGACAAAACACCTTATATCTCACTAGCTAATTACCGAAACCTTATAGTTTGTTATATCAGTTTTCTTCTTTTAAATTGGTTTATCCAAATATGTAATAAAATTTGAGACATTCTATTTGAAAAATCACAACTTTGATATGTAGGTCGAAACTGCGACACCCTGTATAATGGAGAATGTTTTAGAAATGTGCCCTCAAATGTCATGTATAACATCCCATAAATAGATTTTCCCAAAATTATTTGATTACGAGTAATATTCCGTCCACACATGGATGGGCCACCCTGTATATACAGGGTGACTTTGAAGTTGAGTCATTAATTTTCAGATAATGATTGTAGAAGGAAGATAAACCAAAATATGTGTGTAAAAATAAAAAAAAAATAAAAAAAAATTTTTACCTTGTTTTATAAAGTATCCTCCCGACAAGTATTTCAGTGCGGACCTGTATTTGATCGTGAGGTCCCCTGTGAGGTCTTAAGTCACCTGATTCACAAGCCCGTTGTACTACATTAACAAAGGCACGAGGGGTTGGTTGCACTCGATTGGGAAACCGATCCGCATAAACATGTGCCATTTTTTATTTCGTTTGAGCCACGCAACACATACAACTATTCACTGACACTAACTGTATACAAATGAATGAGATACCTGTAAAAACATCGTTCCAAATTCTTTCGCTTTTTTGTTTCCGATGCGATGAACCGATACGGCGGATTATATCCATTGTCGCCAAACACGACCACATAATATTGTTATTGAGACAGGGCGGTACTCAAACTTCCAAAGGGCTATAACTTTGTTACTTTAATTTTACCAGGAAAATGGTAAAGGAAAAAAACATTTCTTTTGATCAGATCTACTCACTGTTAAAATAAATGACTCAACTTCGAAGTCACCCTGTATATATATATATATATATAGGGTGGCCCTATATATATATATATATAGAGAGAGAGAAATAAATGAATCATCGCCCGTCACTCGCATCTTGTCACGTCGGAGTATAACCACATCCTTGGATTAATAATGGATCTGAACATCTGAGGCTTATTATAAGAAGGCTACTAAATATTCAGCATACTGAATAAATACACGGTTTCTAAACAGAAACCATTAAATCTCTTCTAGATTATCTTATAGTTTTCTCTAAATTTTTAAAATGTGTTACAAACACTCTGAGGCAACTTACTTCTTGAGAAGCATCTTAATATGTGTTTCTGGAACAGTAGGGAACATCAATGCTATCTTTGCAACTATGTCTTCTGATTCTGTAGTTACAGATATTGAGGTGTCCTGAGTGAGTTTAGGGGATGATTTGACAGTCCAACTGATTTTTGGCTTCATATCCTTGCAAGAAACAGGTAATTAATGTATGTGTAGCATGCATTGAAAAAATGGTTACTATTTTTCATATCAATTTATAGAGTAGAAAAAGCTAGGCATGTAAAAATATCAAAACAGGGTCAAGCCAGTTCTCAACGTTCAATTGAGGCGTGTTTTACAAAAACAACATATGTATGTCCAAAATAAAAAAAAATCAGGATACATGAAAAAACGGTTTATTTCAAAACTAATAATTTTCTTGAATACTTTTTTGTTAACTGTTAATAATAGCTAAAAAAATATGCTCATCACTAAAAAAAATATGTGCTTAGGTAATCAAAAACATCCTTTTTTTTGTACTAGATGGTGTCACTAACGCAATTTCGTTAAATTTGGACTTATGCTGTTTTTGTAAAACACGCCTCAATTCTTCTCACTCTAAGCTGAAAAAAATATCTTTATAATACCCAACTTGGAAACAAAAAGGTGGAACCTGTCATAAATTGTCTAATCTGTAAATTCTAGATCTAATACTACAAAAAAAATTAGCAAGTATCTATAAAAATAAATCGATTAATAATCAAGTGTTTTCTTCTCTACATTTTTCCATTTATGCAATAATACTCTATACCTGCAGACCAAGAGATTTATGATTTATATCATCTGAAGGTATTTGAAAAGCACGCCTGGGTGAGCTCTGACTTGGATAGACATAGTTCCTCTTCAGATCTGGAGATCCATGCTGGTTTCACCATAACAGTAGAATCCGAAGCAGCATGTGAAAAAATGTACGCAATATAGTCAAACACTTTTATTTATATTATCCATACTTGATTATGATAAATACAATATATTATCCATACATGATTATAATAAATACAATATACACGAAGAAATGAAGCAACATATTATCCAAAAAGTTGAGATTAGATAATTATGAAAATTTGCGGTTATAGTATGACTAATGGAGGCAATTCGGCAAAAATATTTTTTATATATGGTGGCACTTCCAGTTGTACTGAAAGTTAGATACTATGCGACATTCTAAATGCATTTCGTATTCATCACACTACACTTATGTCAGATAGAAACCACCTTCTTATAATTCCATCATTTTAAGCATTGCATGTAAGGTTAACTTTGTATAAGGTTTTCTAGTTTGCAAATTAGTAGTTCTCCAGATAAATGGGAAAATTGGTTTTTATAGTGCTTAAAAGCTCCATAAAGCTTTTACCATAAGGTAATCTCAGCTGAACATGGCAGAAATTGGTCGAACTTCTAAGGATAACATTTCTGTCCCTGTGTTACAATCAACTAAGATTTCCTTGTTGTTAAAGCCATATGGAGCATATAAGCAAGAGAAAATCCAATATACCTCAGAAACTATAATGTGCAATGTACACAATCTTATACAAAATTTACCTAATTTACAATGCTTGATAAAAAGAAATATAAAAAAAGAATTAACCTTTTTGATATCTCAGACATATAAGATGATAAATATAAAGAAATAAGCAAATTAATATCTCTCTCTGTACAATGGGAGGTGCCACCACTTTGGAAATATTTTATCCAAGTTGCTCAAATCAATTATACTATGAACCCAAATTTACATAACTGTGTTCAAAATTTTGTGTTATTATAGTTGCTGCAGTTCTACAATGGACACTCTTAAATAGATAAAACAATAGGTTGTCTTGTATCCATGTGAGCTACTTTTCCGAATTAACTATTTTATGCACACATCAGATGTTAACATACTCTTATCACCTACAGTTGTCCAATACCTATATACAGGTGTGGTTTAAACAATAACCCAAAATTTAGAAGGCTTGTTTAAACCATTATTCAACATCTAGTAGCTTTTATGACCAATGCTCTGAATAAATGTCCAATGAAAAAATGCATTATGTGGTCCAGAACAGAAAAATAATTATACTACCTGCAATGGTATGTGTTCTAACGGGGGCCCTGGAAAATGTTTTGAAGTACCATGGTGGAGAGGTCTGTGCCGAGACCTTGGATCGTCCCAAGTCGTCATTCTTGTGTAGTGGTTTATATAGTAGCTACAAAAATAATTTTTAAAAATATAAGCTCAACAAACTCGACTTACCCACTATTTTCCAGATTTTTCATCAAATATACAGTCCCAACCAGGCGGGAGGTTTTGCAGCTCAGCCATTTCTAGAGTAGAAATTACAATTAGAATCAGTTTTTTACTCCAGTCATAAAATAATGAATATTTCTCAGGTTTTGGAGTATTTCGAATTCATAATTCCTGTTTATTGATTTTTGATTTTGACAAGTCAAGCGTTTTGTTGACAAAGTCAACAGAAAGCAAGAACGGCCAAGATGGAAGATGGGTTAAACATAATAAGAATGGGATTGATGTAACTGACAAACTGACCCAAAACCCCATTCTTACTCCATTTAGCGAGCCAATCAAGGTAAACATTTGAAATCATGTGACTCTCATAAGTCACGTGGTTGGAATGATTTTTGTGAAACTGCGCCTCTTTTCCAAGTGTCTAGCTAATCAGCAATTTTCTAACCATTATTTGAACTAATCAATGTCGACACGTCTGATCACGTGAGATGAAATATCACCACATCAGAATTACTATAGGCAACCTGAAGCCACGCCTAGTTTCTAATCTACTATACGTCAATAATTTTTCCATTAATGGCCTATTTCTATCTGCGTTCTGTGTTCATTCCTCAGCCTCAGTCTTATGTTTTGTGTGTGTTCTGCGTGTTCTGTGCTTCTGTGGCCTCATCCCATCGCCCAGCCATTTTGTCTTCAACTTCCTAGTGACTTCGTACTTGGTTTACGAAACGTAAATTATGGAATATTTGTATATTTTTGGAAAAAAAACTCATTGTAGTAGGTAGAATTACCATACGTGTTTGTGATTCGTGGGTTTATTTAACGTGTAATCGAAAATGACTCAGTTTTTACCTCCTAACTTATTAGCTTTATTCGCACCACGCGACCCTATCCAATATTTGCCACCAGTGGCAAAATTACCACACGAAAAGAAAAATAGAGGATATTTGGGTGTCGGAGCTTTCTTAGATGACTTCGAGGTAAGTGTATTTAATCAAATTACGAGCAAAAGATTATTATAAGTAGTCTCTCGACACTTCACAATTGACTGCTCAGATTAGAACAAGCATCGGCAAAAGTCTAGACGTGGTCTAGATTTCACGAAAGGTCAGTACAGAGCATTTTTGTAGATTGTATTTGTGGTTTCAGGATCCTAAAGATACGCCACCACCAACAAAAGTAGAAACTAGAGAAGAAAGGCTAGAGAGAAGACGTAAAGAAAGAGCTGAACAAGTAGCATACAAACTCGAACAGGAAATTGCTGTTTGGGACCCTAACAGTTCACCAACTATCACTGGAGACCCTTTCAAAACACTTTTTGTTGCTAGAATTGTAAGTTAAACAAACTATTATTAGAATAAGCTAAAACCTCAGCAGCTGTTTTGTTTTTTGTGGTTCAGTATGCAGCATATTCAATTTTATACAATATTAGAGATTAACTGAAACTTGCCTTTAATGATGTTATCTTGTTTTGAAGTTTGTTGCATTTATCTACTGCTGCTTATTTGAATTTATAATTTTGATATTGTTTCTCTTTTAAAGAACTATGATACATCAGAGTCCAAGTTGCGGAGAGAATTTGAGGTTTATGGCCCAATTAAAAAGGTGAGTACATATGATGCTTTGTACTTTATCCAATGAGTATAATGTTTTATGTGTAGTTATTAAACCAAAAATATGATCATTTTGCTGTATTTTTCAAATCTTGAAACTATCCTCTTTACAGATTGGTGCATATATTGACAGAAATAATAATCATAAATAATTTATCAGAATTGTTGTTAGATATTTTTATATTAAATTCAGCATCTACAAAACCCCACATTAGAAAATCATATCTTTTGTGTTAAAATTAGATGCTAGATAAAATTGTGAAAATCCAATGTTGATGGCTGAAGTAATAGTCATAAACAATTTCACCTCACATACAGTCATATATATGAACCTTGTACTACCTACAGTATGATAGGTAGTGGTAATAGGGAACATGTATGATTTATTTTTTTGTATTTTGTTATTCATGTAACACCTGAAAAGTGTGTTCCAGCTGATAATCCTTGTTCATCTGGCTGCTAAATTAAAGGCTGTTTTACTGGTAGAATCATCCGACAAACATGGGTGACTGTCAAAATTTATTTTCAATTGAATAATTAAAACTGCAATGCTAAAGTCATTCAAATAAATGCCAATTTCTTGGCATGCTTTACAGTAAAGTCAGTGTTCACAACATGTCATTTGATTGGTTTTTTTGTTAGTTTGCTCTTGAGTTTTTGACATACCATTTGTAGATTAACAAAGTATATATACAATATGTTTATTACCCCTAATTACAATGAAATGTTGTAAAAAATATGAATCTTTTACTCCCCTGACATCTGCTCTGTATTTGAGGCAATATATGATATTATGAAAGCACCTATTTTTACAATGATGACTGATTTCTTAATCTTTATCTTCAGCACAAATATACCAGCATCAACACCTACTTCAGTTTATGCACTGATATTTTTGCTTTATAGGTTAGTTTGCTGTTACCAGTCATTCCTTTGAGGGTTTAGCATATCTTGTTATTTTTGGCATTTTATCAGAAGGCTTTCCCAGACTGTGGTGGTGTATATCCACCAACATGTCTGCTGCATCCATACTGGTATTGTCCATTATATCTTTTGTCACATGATGTAGTCTATAGGTTGTTCTTGCATCACCTTCCAGCTATATGTGTGACGGGGGTAAATAAAAGCTCCAATAATCAATGTGCAAGCTTCTCTCTGTAGTGCACTTAGTTTAGCAGAGTCAGTACATTGTGCTGCCTTGCCCACTAAGGTACATATCCATAGGTTATCATGTATAATGACAGTGGTAGAATGCTAAAACAAACAAAACAAAGCTTAGGTTTCATTCTCCAAATCTTCCCACAGACCTTTCATCAGTTTCACAAGATCCTTGCCTTCTTAAAGACTACTTCCGGATGGATTTTATCTAAGGTTACTCCTAGATATATGTTTTCACCTCAAATTGTTGGTGATTGCTTGAAAAGTACTATGACCATTTTCTTCAAGTGGATTGGCTTTCCTTCCTCTCTCACCAATTTGATATTGTTCTTAACACTTTCCGAAATATTTTAGTCAAATTTCCTCTTGACCAAAACAACTAGATCATTTGCATATGCCTGAGCCTCAGCATTCTTTTGACCTGATCAAACTGATGGATTAACAATCAATGACAGATCAAATGCAGTTTGTAGCAATATATAATGTACATAGAGATTATTAACTGATATTTTAATCATATGCATATTCCTCATTGTATATGATGTATAAACACATCATTAATTATCAGTATTTTTTCTAGATTGTCCTGATCCACAATACTGTCAACGGAAAGCCCAGGGGGTATGCCTTTATTGAATATGAACATGAAAGGGATATGCATTGTAAGTTTAAGATATATTACAAACAATTCATTCAATGTTCCCACTCACAGCTATTAAGAATTAATTTGCTTACTAATGATTGATCAATGTAAGTCTAGTTTGAATAATGATGAGTATGGAATAGGATGTATTTACAGATATTACCACTTATTGAATTAACTCATTTTTAATATGTATTAGTGAAGCATTAGGTTTGTAAGGAGCTCAGAGACACTTATTTTGAATGATATTCGCTTTAATAAGCAAGATCTTACATGACACCACATCACTATTATGGTATATTCTGAAGTCTTTATTTTTTTAAAATTCAGGACGAATTTTTTTATGGAAATTTGTATTAGAAAAAATTATTTATAAGAGGACAATTGCGTATTGTGCACTATTATTTGAAGTTAAAGTATGGTAAAAACATGGTCTATCAAAATAACAGTGTAAGGCCCCATCTATTGCTAGAATCGACCACTTTCGCAAACTTATTTCGATAGATCACACCCTTTTGTGAATACAGTTGTTCAATAAAATTTTATATGATGGTTCTGAGCTTCATGGTCAGTTTATGTTTTTCATTTGCAAGACTGTTTAACTTGCAGAAAAGCACTGTCATTTTAAAAAACTTGCATAGTTTAGTTTATTGTCTTTTATTTATACAACTGGGTAAGTATTGCAATTTTTTATGTAATCTCAAGTCACAATCATCATTTTCACTGTCTTAGCTAAACATGAAAGTTTGTCCCAGTTAATGCTACATCTAGCTAAGAAAGTGAAAAGTGTTCCATACTCATCATATAATAGTTTGATCTATCTAGAGGATGAGTGGTTCATTGAATATACAGCTTCTTTATGTAGCCAGCAACATCACTGAAATACCAAATGTTACAATAGTCACACTGAAATTAATTTTTTCTATTTTTTACACAGTCGAGCTGCAGGCAACTAAGTAGTGCCGATTTGCCCCAAACTTCTGCTTTTTGCTGGCTATATAGGTTTGTATGTGTGGTAAGAACCCTGCATACAAATAGTTCACAAGTTTTGTTGTTTAGCGGGGTGTCACTTGACAAATATTCAAAATCAGTTTTTGTCAGTTAGGGTTTCTCTTAAAATCAAACTAAACTACCTAATTAGATTTTGCTTAATATGATCCAAAAGTATTTTGATTCACCTAATTTTAAGTAATAGGTGTGGTTTAAAAAACTGTGTTTCTATTTACACTTATAAATTTTTGTCCTCAACCCTTTTGCCAACATGGGCAAAGGTATCTGACTTCTTGTACCTACAAAGACTCAAAGTATTCACAATTTTTGTTAATAATGGAGATTCAGACAGGTGTGATGTTCCAGCTTACTTTCATTTCATTTGGGACATATGAAAAAGCTCATCACATATAAAGATTTTTGCATACAAAAGAGATATTTGTTCGCCTCATCAGATAATTGTAGAAAAAATGTATAAAAACCAATTGTTATACATAAACATACTTATTTGCCCAAGTAACACCATAAACAAAGATTCTTTTCGGGTTTATTTGAAGTTGAAAACTGTGTTATTGTAGTAAATAAAAAGATAATGGTTTTAAATTTACATTGTATTATTATCTTAAGGCAACATTCCGATTTTAACATTAAAAAGTTGAAAATCGTAGACAAAATTATTTATCTTAAAATTGATGTTCAACACGTTTTCAAAATTTTTCAGGATTTTAAAACTTCAGAAATTTTGAGGTGCCTTTTGTTAACCTTTATCGATAAAATCGGGCTTTTTATTATTTTATAGTCACAGATACGTACCTATATATAATATATAAAAAATTGTTGACCTACTATTTTTATGTGTTAACAATAAGGTAAATTGCCTCTAAAGGTACATGTTTAATAAACATTTTCTAGTTTACTTTAAAACTGCTTTTGTTTAAATTAAAATGTATTTAAACTGATTTCAAAATAACCTCCACAGCAGTTTCAAGATAATAAAGATTTAAATTTTGGTTTTATTGACCGCTTTCAGTGCGGGCCCCTTTACGCTGAAGAAGAGTTCATTAGAATGTTATGGTTTATTTAAAAACCAATTAGTTGTAGTTGCAGTTTTATTTTACAGTTTTGATGCATCCTTAAAATACTTGATAAACCAGTTCGTGCTACTTGTGCGATTTTTGATTAAGCTTAAATTCTTGGGCAGAAAGTTATAAGTGCAACTAGAAATTAAGGTTGGTTTTTTAATCACGCTGAGTGATTGGGTATGCGCGGAGTAAGTAATTGCGCACCAGGTAATTGCAATGGTAAAAATGGAAGCCTCTGCAGTTCGTGTGATTAGATTCAATTTCATCTTTTTCGTTTTCTTCCGTAAGTAAAAGGGTAGGTATACTTTTTATACCTATATTTTATTCAAAGCCGCAAAAGTCAGCAAAATTTTATTTAGCAATTGAGCTGTACTTTCGGTTACCCTCTCAGCTTCATTTCCTCTGGAGATGCTTTCCCAATGATTTGTCAGATTGACCTTTGGCAGAAAGTACAGTGAATTGTTACTGTTTTGTGAAGTCCGGTTATTTTTTTATTATCCAGATAACTTTTCATGTTGTTTACACCCTAACTCCGTGAAAAACTACCATACGTATAAAAAAAAATATATAAGTGAATTGCATACCTTACTAAAAAGTCGGTTCAGCAGCTGAACATTTTTGTTGAAACCTCTCACATACACAAAGTAAAGGGCAGTATGAAAATATTGCTTAAAAATCGGTATATCATTTTTTTCGTAAAATGAACGTGTCGAAACCCTCATGTTTTCTTAGAAGCAGAATCCATTTTTTAGATCTTTGAGCTATTCGGAAATTCGCTTTTTCCAAGAAAGTTATCACGAGTCCTAATTTAGAGGCACAAGAATGAAACTAAATCTTTTTTCATTTAGTACCCTTGTATCCAAATCAATATTTCCTTGGAAATTGAACCCATCATCTCCAAATATTAACGTTGATGTATTTTTTCTCGTAACGTGTAAAAGCTCGGGCTGTTCGACGGGCCTTTTATGAAAAACAACATGGCTAGTTGTTTACAACTATTCAATCGCTAAAGAATTGTGATTTTAGAATACAATTTACAGCTGCATACAAACATGCTGACGGAAAGAAAATTGATGGACGACGTGTATTGGTGGACGTAGAAAGAGCTAGGACTGTAAAGGGGTGGTTGCCTAGGCGATTAGGTGAGTAATCATATGAAGTTTAACTCTTTTTCGCTTATATGTATATCTTCTCTCTGATGCAGCAACTATGACTCTTTATCTCGCCAGTCGCCACGCCGTTTTTTGTTGAAGATGTGTCACGTTTTTGCTGTGTTTTTCTTTTTCAGTTTCCAATGGAGTCGCTAACATGGCGAAAGACTTGTCAAATGTACAAAGAATGGTTTTGGCTCATGATGGAGCTGAAATTGTCTCATATGTTCACCTTATTATATATGATTAATCTGCATAATAACTAAATCAATCATTTTTACGTTCACAAATTAAGAATAGGAAATACTCTATATAAAATCTGTAACAGAGGTAATTGTGATAGTTTGTATTGGGCTACAAAAACATTTGAATGATACATTTGATTTCATCTGTCTAGCCAACCATACTTTTATATATATTATTAGGCCTCAGAACAATATGCGAGATCATTAAAGTGATGAGTCTGATTTTTTTTGTTCAAATATAATTACAATTTTATATTGTCACTCTTATGCATAAGGGCCCATCTAAGTGGCCTATGCACCGGCTCCTCACAGTGACCGATATGCCTCTAATTCCAGACTTCAGTCATTCTCGCCCTTAAAGTAACTTCTGAAGTCACAGCGTTGGAGTTGGTTCTTCCACTCCTCATAGCAGAGTGGAACTCCGATACTGGAATACGCTTCAGCTGGTCGTTTACATCCCTTTGAATGTTTTCGACAGTCCCAAAATGGAAGAAAAAAAGTCGGAAGGCCACAAGTCAGGCAAAAAACACATCTCCGTAGGTCTTTGCTTGAAATTGATGTCACTAATATAGAACACAATAGAAAAAACTTTCAGAAAAACATCGCTATGACTACGAACAACCAGATGACTCGAGCGAGTTCAAACTTGTACTGAAGGCGGATCACGTTTCCCTGTCTCCCCTCCAAGAGCCGTATCGTCAGTCGTTCCTAGAATTGTAGGACGCCTGTATGGCCTCCTTGATTTTCATAGTATTTTCTCTCCTTCAGAAAGGCCTGGGGTATTTATAGAGTTCTACTGTTCCGTGACAGCGTCAGTGCTCTCCTATTGTGAAGTTATGTTTTCTTTTTGAATTGAAGGAAAATTCAGGCTGATAAAACCGTTCATATAAATCAAAAGCACAAAAACAATTGATGCAAATAGATATTTGTGACATAACCTCAAAAAGTGCGCTGACACTGAACAGTAGAAAACTACAGTTCGAAAATCGAGGAGGTCATAAAGGCGTCCTACAATTGTAGGAACGACTGACGATACGTCCCCAAGCCCGGCGGGTCCAGTGTTATCAGCTCGAACGCTATGTTGCCAGTCTTATCACTTAATTTACAGACCTCGTGTGAATGAAAAAGCGTTTTCAATGTCATCAGCATTTATGGGAGATTGAATAAAAAATACTGATTTAACAATTGAATCATCATCGGAGATTGTTCTAGAACCGAAAGATTTCCTACGTTTTTGTAATTTCCTGTGAAATTACACATCTGATATCTTGGACGAAAAGAGTAAGTGGCTTCGGGTTGTTGTCGCATATTTAATGGTACTTAAATCCTATTCAAACCTCAATAGTGGAATAGGAGAGCGAGCAGTTGGAGATCACGCATTGTAGTTCGTCGTGATGCGGCGTAAGCAGGACTGGATGAGGCCGCCCTAATAGCACCCCCCTAGACAGCTTCCCGCCCTGACTGAAAAGCTGCATCCGGCCCTGGACGTTTTAATAGGATTTGGTTTAAAGTTAATTTCAGACACTTTCTTCTTAATTTGCGATTTTGCTTTATTAAGACGAATGCTATCTTTTCAGGTGGGGGATTGGGTGGAACCCGTCGCGGTGGACCTGACGTGAACATCAAACATTCCGGAAGGGAAGACAATGAACGGGAAAGAGAACGGTACCGCTTGGAGAGAGAAAGAGAAGAATGGGGCGGTGGCGGAGGAGGTGGAGGAGGAGGAGGGGGAGGAAGAGATAGAGATCGTGATAGAGAAAGGTAAGTGCTAGGTTGAAAATAAGGCAAAAATACAAGGAATCAATCTGCTCTATTAGTTTCCTTTTAAGCCTATACTGATGTGTTATCCCTCCTTTTATTGTTGAACCCAGTACAAAATATAAATTGTCTATACAGTTGTCTAAAGCAGTATTGGAAATTAAACCACAGGTAATGGACAACGATTTGGGGCGCCACCATTTTTACTTGAGATTATCTTGAAATTGCCAGACGGCAGCCTTTTTGAACACAAATCCATACTATGTTTTGCTAAGCTCAAACTCAGGTTACTTGTGGGGAGCATCCTAGGAAATAATTGGCTGTTTGTTAGTTTTTGAGGTTAAGATTTATTAAAAAATACTGAAATCATTTCACATTTATGAAAGAAAATATGGTGTACATATGTAGGTACTTTGATGTTTCAAATATGTTTGCTTCTAATCCTAAGCCGATACCACATCTACTGTTAAAATAGTTTTTGTGTCAAGAATCTTAAACTGTATCCATCGAAGAAACAAAGTAAAATCAAACATATACACCCGTATTGCACGTGATCAAGAACTTAACCGTAGGAGACGCTACAAGGCCGTATCAAGCTATTGTGACTGATCTATCAAAAAATGTCGTTCAAGATATGTGTTGCTGTAAATTCTATCAAAAGCATAGTAAATTATCAGGAATATACCACGCCTTTCTAATCATATTTCGACATTAGGAATCAGTGCAAAAAATTCTGTATTTACCATTTCAGCAAAATGTTACTAAAACGCACACGAAAAAAACTTGTGGACCATCTCAATTGAAATTGTTCATATTTTATTATTAACTTACATATATACCCAATAATATTTACAAATCAACCTTCTAATCACAATGCAGAGCAAATTTTTTTGAGCAAATAGAAACTACAGACGTAGTAGTAGTAGTACAAAAGTTTATTACAGACTCCATAAAGTTTGTTAGTTTGATTGCTATTAAAATTTACATGAGAAATAGGAAGAAGGTCAAAATGGCACTATTATGCTTTGGAACTCCTAAATTAACCCTAATTTTGTGTAATTATAAATTTGGAATTTCCACATTAATAACTAGAAACTTACACTTTGATTGCAGTCTATAATGAATTTACCTGTCTTGCCAAAAAGCCTGTTAAACTGCCAGTCTTAATGGTATCAATCGATTTATATGCTGTATTCCGAGGAGCTTGAATCATCAGAATTGTTGATGTCAATTATAAGGGGTTCAACTTGGGTGTCAATGATATTGTCCATATCCCACATTTTGGTTTCAACCTTCTCTTGGACATGGTCAATACATGTTCTCCATTTTGCTGGCGTAATTCTATCGACAGCAGTATCAAACAGTTTTTTAAGGTCAGAAAACTTAAAAGTGCTGTTATTTGACGCCACGTATTGCTTGATGTCGGCCCAAATCAACTCGATAGGATTCAGTTCGCAGTGATAGGGAGGCAGCCTGAGAATCGTTTTATTTTGGTTTTTGGCCATTTCGTCAACAATTTTTAAATCATATTTATACTTATGTCGCTTGACTATATTTATCAGCTCAGCTTTGACCATTGTTTGGTCGAAGTCGATCTTCTTTGAGACAAGCCACTGTTGAATGTCTGCCTTTTTGGTGGCCATTGTTGGAATTTTTTCCAATTTTCTGGAGTGGTACGGGGCATTATCCATCACAATAATTGCGTTATCATCAAGTGTCGGCAAAATTTTTTTTAACCAATTTTCAAATGAGTTACCATCCATTTCTTCGTGATAGTCTCCAGTTTTTTTGGATTCAAATGCCCACAATGCTTCAGGAACAAATCCATCTACGCTACCTATGTGGCAAATGATCAGGCGTTTTCCATTGCCTGAAAGTAATTAGTTATTTTACTTCTCAGCGAGCGCACTAAATGACGAAATTAAGCAACTTACTCTTTTTAGGTTAGTGTAGGATAGGGTCTTAGATTAGTTTTTGGGTGAAGGAAATACTCAGAAACTTGGATGAGATAGCAAAACTGAGTTCGGAGCTTCCAAATCGTTGATTCGATCAGAAAATGAATTATCTGCATCCAAAAAAGTTCATATACTTCGAAACTTACCTGCAGGATTTTTCAATCCCGTCGAAAGGCCATCTAAAAAAGCCTGCCTTGAGGACCTCACAGATCTGTCTACCCAAACCTTTCCCTGCGTATGCCCCGCGTTCACCCATGTTTCGTCTAAATAATAAATTTTTCTTCCTTCAGCGCGGAATTGCCTAATTTTTCTAAGGTATTCTCTCCTCCAGATAACAATTTCCTCCTTTTCTATCAATAAACTATTCCTTCCTCTTTTCAAAAATCGAAAGTCTAGTTCTTTCAACAGCTTATGGAACGTAGATCTTTTAAAATTTGGCAGGTCCTCATCATCATTCACTTGCTTCAATATTTTATCTATTGTAGGTATTTCATTCCTGAAGAAAAAGTGATGTACTTTTCTTCTAATGGCACTTTTGTCAGTCATCTATTTTTTCGATGATTTTTTTTCTCGCTGGATATGTTTTTGGCTCAGATAGTGAGTGATTTTGTCTATATTCCTTCAAGATTTTGTAAACACTTGATCGACCTACTCCAGAAATTTCAGCAACCTTACATACGATATTTTCTATAGCCAATCCACTATTCTCTTGCATCTGGTTCTTGTAGATATTTAGAATAATTTGTTTTTCACCTGCGCTAAGATGAAGCTTTTTAGCCCTTTTGCTGGGTGGCGTTAAGCTGATTTCAACCACTTCATCAGCTGTATCTGTGTCAGACATTTTAGACTAATATTAAATTTCCGCAAGAAAAATCAAGTCAAGACGTGCATAAAACGTTCGCGCTCATAAACGGGTATCCGTAACTGATTACAATCCTGTGCGTGGTGACGAACCATCAACGTGACGCTGAGAGTTCCCTCTACTATGCAGCGTTGCCAGGCTTAATGTCACAATGATCATGTTTTATTGGGAAAATTGTCAGAAATCGCCGAATGTTGAACAGAAACATTACAAGAAGTCTAACCTTGAAATGTGAGGCTACAAATCGATATTCTTATAGGGGGGAAGGGTAGGGAGCTGTCATGGTTCCTATTAACATTGGTGAAAGTTGGAAACGGTAATATCATATATGGCATACATTCGGTTGAAGGTGTGTGCACGGAAAATAGATTGCGGTTAGGATTTTAATAGATAAATCTGCACAAAAAAACACAAAAGGAGATTTTTGTATTTCAGTGAAGAATATCTCAAGGTTATTTCAGATGTACTCATCGAAACTTTATGGAAGGATTATCGAAACCTTATTTTCAATTGCGATAGGGCCACATACCTCGACATCGCATTAATGTGAAAAATAAGACAATAGAAAAAAATTCCCTCACTGATGCTATCTCTTAGGAAAAATTTAACTATAAAGATTGCACAAAAATTTTCTTCACCTTTTTGAGCTTGTTTTCGCATCTCCGTATATGCCGTTCATAATTTGCTGCAGATCAAATTGGAATATACCTTTGTGATGCCGAAAACTCGCCGAGCGTGGCAACCGTGCGACTTTGTCTGGAGGCTCGTCGCTACAAGCCAATCAGGAAGAGGCCGACAGAGCGCCATGGCTACCGATCACGCGTTGATCACCAATCAACCACTGTTTACGATTACTTTGTAGCTTCGTTAGATACACTTTAGGTATATTATAGCTTAGGAAATGAGATTAACTGCATCCCTTATCGCAGGTAATTCAAGCAATTGGGCTACAAGTGTACCTGCATAACTTCTTTTTTATCTTTTTAATACATTATGAATGATGCTTCAAATTATTTTTTTCTCTATGAACAGGGTCAGAGATCGCGGAGATGCATTCGAAAGGAAAAGATCTCGGTCTAGAGACAGACGACGGCGGAGTCGGTCAAGATCGCCTCGAAGAGAAAAGAGACGTCGTAGCAAAGATCGCGGCAGAGATGATGACGACATTGATGGAGGTAGACGAGAGAAAGATAGGGATAGGTAAGTTTATAAAAAGCGGTATTCTCATCAGAATTTAAGTTGTCATTGTATTTGTTATCTGGAAAATCAGGAAAGTTCAGCTAAGTAAAATATTGTCCTATAAAATACTGTCAAAAAAAAGCAAGAGTGGTTAATGGTTATATACTAAGTGACATATAAATCCGAACACCCAGTTTAAATGGTTTTATTTTAATAAAATTTTGTATAAGTACTTAATGAAGCATAATAAGTAAATGATAAAAATTTCAAAATGATTGCACTGCTTTAAAGCCCTTTGACCTTTAATAATGTGTGGATGCACCCTGATGTGCTACGCATTCTCCAACGCGCCTAGGCATGCTTCTGATCAGGTGGTCAACGTCCTCCTGTGGTATCTCATTCCAGGCAACCACCAACTCCTTTCGAAATGCTTCTAGAGTCTGAGGAGGACGTTGCAAATTGAGCAACCTCCTACCCATCATATCCCACACGTGCTCAATTGGGGATAAGTCGGGAGATCTTGGTGGCCATGGTAACAATGTGACATCATTATGTTGAAAGAAGTCTATTGTGGCTCTTGCAACATGTGGTCGGGCATTATCTTGTTGGAAAGTTGGATCTGCCAGGGTGTCAAGATAGGGTAAAAGATGGGGTTCTAGAACTTCGTGGATAAAACGCTGCGCGTTCATGTTACCCTCTGATGAAGATTAAAGGTGACCTGGAACCATAAGCTATAGCACCCCAAACCATAACTCCAACAGTGTGATCAACATGTCTTTCAACAAAAAACTGGATTCCTCCTTTCACCACGTCGCCTTCTAACCCTGGCACGACCATCGTGCATGCCTTAACAAAATCGAGACTCGTCACTAAAGACAATACTGTTCCATTTCTGATCCCAGAGTGACCGTTGTCTGCACCACTCAAGGCGATTACGTCGGTGTTCTCGAGTTAAAGGGAGGACCCAGTGTGGCCGATATGAAAACAAGCCAAAACTTCTCATTCGTCGGTAAACACTTCGCATGCCAATAGGTCTTCCGTGTTCTGCAAACCATTCATTTGCAATGGACCTGGTAGTGGAGAAACGGTCCCTTAAGGCCAATAATCTTCTCGGTCTGTTGTTCTACGGCGGCGTCCAGTGCTTCTTGCTCTTTGCGTACGGTCTTCTCGAAGCCATGCCTGACAACACCTAACCACAGTGTCTACACTTATTTGCACTCTAACTGCAATTGCCCGAAAAGAAAGTCCAGCTTCCCGAAGTCCCACTATACGGCCCCTATCAAACTCACTAAGTTGACGAAATCGTACAGGTCTCCGTACTCTAGGCATCGTAACCGATCGTAAAGGATGTCAAGAACCAAAATCCGCCAACGTTGATTCTTTACTGCGGCTGAAATATTCATTTTTAGAGCGTTAGTGAATTAAAAAAAAGCAGTATAAAAACCGGAATGTCCAACTGATAAGGCTGAAAATTTTTTCACTTGTTATTTACAGTAAGATAAATACATTCACCAACTTTTATTAAAATAAAACCATTTAAACTGGGTGTTCGGATTTATATGTCACTTAGTATATTATTGTGGTTAATCTTCTTGTGTAATTTTTTCAGGGATCGCGAAAAGGACAGGAAAAGGAGAAGGTCTAAGTCGAGAGACAAGGACCGTGAGGCACGAAAACGTGAGAGGAGGGAGAGACGAGAAAGAGAACGAGGAGAGAGACTCGAGTATATCAAGACAGATGATGGAGGCGAAATTAGGATTAAAGAGGAGCCCATTGATGGTAAGTGCTGTTAATAATACCTTTCACCCACAATAGATCTTTATAACTTGCCTTAATAGTTATTCATTAACTAACTTTGTGCTTATTTCACTTTTTGCATTTTGAGACGATATATGGCATTTTAGTTTGACTGTTCTTGAACTATCATTCCTATAGTTTAAGCCAAACGATATGCTATATTAAAATTTTAAGGCAACAGGGCCTGCTGACTTCAAGTACAGCCTGACAGGTAGTATAAGCCTCAAACAAAATAAAACATTCACCACAGAAGTTGTCTCGAAAGTAACCATACATTTTTTAATAAGCTCAGGATAGCAAATAAGGTCTTGTAAAAATGCCCCAATAACATTGATTCTGAATTTAGTAATTTTTCATATAATTTCTCTGTAATTCATTATTTAGAAAATCAACTACTCTGGTGCATTTGTATGATGCTTTTTTTGTACCTGTTTGACCCACCAAAGAGCTCATACTATTATCACATCCTTGTTAAGGGTAGTCCAAACTTTAGATTTTTCATACGTGCCTACTCGGGTATGAAAGAGGGTCTTGACGTGTTTCATTCTGTACGATTTTTTTTTCAGATTATGATTATAATCAGTATCAGCAGAACTACGAAACCGCGAAGGTGAAATATGAAGATGAAGATGAGCAGAAATACGAACCGGAAGCCAATGGTGGTCAACGGAATAATTACGAAGAAGAATATGAAGAAGGTGAAGCATACTAATCCTCCTGAGGCCCGATATCTTGGTTAATTTCGTCTGTAATTACAATTAATATAATTAGAATAAGTGTTTACTCTATTTTCAGGTAAGATGGGATATCAAGTGTAGTACCTTTCCAGTCAGGTTGCTTTGTGCATTATTAAGTGTATTTGGCTTGTATGACACTTTTTTAGTAACAGAGATTCGCCAATAAATGTGTGATTGAATTTTTTTGTTTTAATTTAGTCCTGTTGGGGTTACACAAATGATTTGAGGGTTCTAGTAAACCCTACTACAGCCAGAAATATCCGACATTCGATGTACGATTGTGCTTCTAACAATTTAGTATCGGGACCGTAGAAGCGACAAGAGGTATTTGGATAAATGTAAATTTCCCGCCAATTTTCTGTCAGGAGCAGATCACATTTCATACCTCGTCTTACTTCTGTGATCCTTATATCAAATTCTGTTTGATACTTTAAGTCTAGCCAGAGAAACATCAAATCGTCGAAATGCGATTCTACTTCTAAAAATTGAGTATCAGCGTTAGGATAAATATGAATTTCCATCCAATTTTTTATCAGAAGTAGATTACACACTACATACCTCTTCGCACTTCTACGGTCCTGATACGAAGTTTCAATTTTTATTTTAGCCAGAAGCATCCGATAGTCGATGTATGATTTTGCTTCAAACATTTGGTATCAGGACCGCAGAAGTGGCAAAAGGTGTTTAGGTAAATGCAAATTTCCCGCCAATTTTCTACCAAGAGCATATTGTAGACTCGTAACCTCCTCGTGTTTCTGTAATCCTGATAGCAGATTACAACCCTAGGATTAGAAGTATAGCCAGACCGGTAGTCAACGTGCGATTTTGCATGTAAAAATTCAGTATCAGCATCACAGAAACGACGAGGGGTATTTACGAGATAAATTTCAGTTCAGTCTAGCCAGAAATACCCGATAGTCGATGTGCAATTGAGCTTCAAACAATTAGTATTATGACCGCAGTAGCGACGAGAGGTGTTTGGCTAAATGTAAATTTCCCGCCAATTTTCTATCGGGAGCAGATCACACACTACATACCTCTTCGCACTTCTGCGGCCCTGATATGAAGTTTCAATTTTATACTCGTACATTTAGTAACAGGACCGCAGAAGTGACGAAAGGTGTTTCGGTAAATGCAAATTTCCCGCTAATTTTCTACCAAGAAATTCAGTATCAGGATCACAGAAACCACGAGAGATATTTGCGAAATAAATTTGAATTTCTCGCCAGGAGGAGATTACCCACTACTAATGTCAATGTTTATACATTCAGTCTAGCCAGAAATATCCGATAATCGATGTGCGATTGTGTTTCAAACATTTAGTATCAGGACCGCAGCAGCGACGACAGCTGTTTATATAAATATGAATTTTCCTCCAATTTTATATCAGGACCAGATCACACTACATACCTCTTCACACTTCTGCGGCCCTGATACCAAGTTTCAATTTTATACTTGTTTAGCCAGAAATATCTGATTCGATCTGCGATTTTTCGTGTAAAAATTCAGTATCAGGATCACACAAACGACGAGGGGTATTTACGAGATAAAGTTGAATTTCCCGCCAGGAGGATATTACATACTACAATTTTAAATGTTTATATGTTCAGTCTAGCTAGAGATATCCGATAGTCGATGTGCCATTTTACTTCAAACATTTAGTATCAGGGCCGCAGAAGCGGCGAGAGATGTTTAGATAAATATGAATTTCCCTACAATTTTCTATAAGGAGCAGAGCACACACTACATACCTCTTCACACTTCTGCGGTCCTGGTATCAAGTTTCAATTTTATACTTTTAGTCTAGCCAGAAACGCCCGATAGTAGATGTGTGATTTTGCTTCAAGTATCAGGACCGCAGAAGTGATGAGAGGTATTTGGATAAATGTAAATTCCCGCGAAGTTTCTATCAGGAGGTTAGAGACTAGATACCTCCTCGCACTTCTGTGATCCTCATACCAAGTTTCAATGTTATACTTGTTTAGCCAGAAATATCTGTTTCGATCTGCGATTTTGCTTGTAAAGATTCAGTATCAGGATCACAGAAACGTTGAGGGGTATTTATGAGATAAATTTGAATTTCCCGCCAGGAAGAGATTACACACTACAAATTTTAATGTTATACGTTTAGTCTAGCCAGACAGTCGATGTGTGATTTTACGTCAACCATTCAGTATCAGGACCGCAGAAGTGACGAGAGCTGTTTAGGTAGATGTAAGTCTCCCGCCAATTTTCTACCAGAAGCAGATTGTAGACTCGATAGCTCCGCGTGTTTCTGTAATCCTGATAGCAAATTTCAACCCAACAGAGAGTTTTAGCTAGACTGGTCGTCGTGCGATTTTGCGTATAAAAATTCAGTTTCAGTATTGCAGAAGCGACAAGAGGTATTTACAAGATGAATTTGAGTTTGCCGCCAATTTTCTATCAGAAGCAGATTGCATACTCGATACCTCCTTGCGTTTCTGTGGCCCTGGTAGCAAATTTCAATGTCATAGTTTTAGCTAGAAGTATATGTGGAAGAGTTGTGATTTTATTTAAGGATCGCAGAAGCGAGGCGAGGTATTTACGAGAATTGAATTTTTCCCCAACTTTGTCTCAAGGCAGTACACATTCTATAGCTCCTTGCGTTTCTCTGAAATTACATTTCATATAATGATACTTACAAAAGATCCATGTGGGATTTGGATTCTATAAATTCAGCATCACGAACATAGAATCGCCAATAGGTGTTATTAAAGAATAAGTATGAGTGGAAGGGTGATGTAAAGTCAATCAGAGACTCCTTTTTCAAACCGTTTTATTGGGAATACTAAATGAGATACACAGAAATAAGAAATAACTTAAAATACCAATTTATTTATTTAAATCATAACGTACAACACAGTTTTCAATTAATACAATAAAATCTAAAATAAAATTATAACGTTATCTACTGAGCTTGATACACATACGTTGTCGAGAAAGAGTCCAAGGTTTTGAGAGTGGTCTAAAGACGCATATGATACCTTAAAATTAATCATCCATTTAAAAAAATACAAAAATCTACAGTGGCTATTACAGCCTTTTAAGCATTCAATTTTGTGATGCACAGTATGGAATGAATACAATGAATAGTACTACTAAAGGTTGTATAGTGTATATGTGTTTCTCGTACATTAAGACTGCACTAACATGGATTAACTCTAAAGGGCGTCAAACGGAGAATTAAACGTTTCTGCCCTTCTGAGTTGGTCATACATACAGTGAACGCTTACAATAAAAAACTAGCTAAGAAATATTTATACAAACAAGTAACCTTATCTAAGAAATGTTTAGACTGTTTCTAATAAGTAGGCTAGGTGAACAAGCTGCTTTTATCAAAATCACAGAATAATGTATTCTGTATGTTTGTACATACCAAATATTCTACCCAATGGTATCTGGCGTTTTTTAATTCCAAATATACACGGCTCTTCTTCTACCGTACTGAAGATACATTGAGTTAGTAATAAGTATCTACCTGAACTATCAGAATAATCTATAATATTACAGTACAAATTTCAGTCTTTTTTGGGTATCTGTAACCACGAGGGTGGATGTTTCTTTTTGAAATACAAAAGCTCCTGAAATGCTCCAAAAAGTGACTACTAGCTCTTAGGCTACAAAGTTTGAAAGAGGTGTGTGACTACCCATTAAAAACAGTCAAAAGATGTATGGATAAAATCGTCCTCTATATTTTATATATATAAAATAACTAAAATATGTTTTTGACTGACAAGAGTATTTTAAATATAGGTATTTTAATTAAAAAATTGTTAGTATGATGAACCTTATAGCTAGATTGTTGCACATTGTTTGAAATGAAAAGTATGAATAAGGAAAAGACAGAGAAGATCACGTAGAAACGTAAGATGACGGTCGGATGATTTACTTTCCTTCTTTTTCTTTGTTTTCTTCTGACTCTTTTTCTTTAGCCTTGTCCTTCTCTTTCTCGTCCGTCTGCAAGAAAAATTCTTAATTAATAATTCTAGTTGGATGGTTCATATAAAAGATTTTGGATGGCTGGAGATATGCCACAGAACTCGGGAAATTCTGACGGTCAGCCGTCTTCTTACTTCCTGCGCAACTATGTATTTTTGAATGTTTTACAGGCTGTCCCAGAAATAACACGCCATAGTGACAGGGAAGCCAATCCGCTTCAGATTAATCAGATAAAATCAACATGCCCTTAGTAAAAGTTTTCTGGTTTTCGAGATATTGCCACTTTTAGGCTTTTTCAAAAAATCATTTTGTTTGCTCCTTTTTTGCCTGCTATGGCTATTAATAACTTCTAACTTATGAGTTTTCCCTGGGCTACCATTAATAGTTGGTTGAGACAACCGAGTATTCATTTCATTGAAAACTAGCACGGTATGTTAAAAAAATGTATACATTTTGTTTCAATGTGAAAACCTTTACTAAAGTTTGACTAATCACTGCGAAAAAAATGTACCAGACTGAATCGGCAAATGATCTTAAAGACTAGGCTATTTAATGCTCTTTTAAAAATAGTATAACATTTGTAGGTTCTTTCTACTAATAATTGAATAATTCCAAGTTTTGTCATTGAAGTCGTAATACTTGCGAAATACTACAAATAAAAAATAATAAGTGCAGCAGTCTTGTATCCAAATCACTAAGGAATGAAACGACCTAAACAGCGAAAGAGAGAATTAACCCTGCGCTTGCGGTGGGCAGGTACCACCTGTTCCTCGAGGTGACATAATGCTACCGACCGAACAATAAATGTGAGAGCGAGTATCTCGACCTAAACATGTCATTGACTATCGTCAATGACATGTTTAGGTCGTTTCATTACTTAGTGATTTGGATACAAAAGACGGCTGCACTTATTTTTTATTTGTAGTATTTCGAATTATTACGACTGCAATGACAAAACTTGGAATTATTCAATTTTTAGTAGGAAGGACCTACAAATGTTATACTATTTTTAAAAGAGCATTGAATGCTGGTTTTTAAGATCGTTTGCTAATTCAGTCCGGTACATTTTTTTCACAGTAATTCGTCAAACTTAGTAAAGGTTTTCACATTGAAACAAAATGTAATTTTTTTAGCATACCATGCTAGTTTCAATGATGTGAATACTCGGTTGTCTTAACCAACTATTAACGGTAGCCCAGGAATGAAGTCGTAAGTTAAAAGTTCTTTATAGCCGTAACAGGCAAAAAAGGAGCAAAAACTATGGATTTTTGAATAAACTTAAAAGTGGCAACATCTCGAAAACTAGAAAACTTTTACTAAGGTCATGATAATTTTATCTGATTGATCTGAAGCCAATCTACCTCCCGCGTCACTCTGGCGTGTTATTTCTGCGACACCCTGTATAACATGGACATCACGAAAAACCATGCCACTCATTTTCGGCGGTATGTCTGTCCGCTAATCCTTCACCCGTCTAAAATATGAGAACCGGTTTTGATGAAATTTTCACGCGGTTACTCCTACGCCAAGGCCGAAAAAGCTTTGTAGTTTTTGAAATTCGGTCTAGTGGTGGCGGAGAAAAATGCCAAAAAATAAAAAATAAAAATCGACAAAACTTTTTGACGTCTCAGAGTTGATCATTTTTGAAAAAAAAAATGAGGGACAAAAAATTGAAATGAGTTTTGGTACTCGACTTCCTGGCAATATTCTGAAACAACTTATGGTATATGGCCTATTGACTTCTCGTATACGGGGTCTTAAACTAAGATTACTAATACATATTTGTTTTTATTTGTTAGAATATGCGTTCATGTCCTTTGCGATTTCGATAGATGGGCCAGGTATTCTAAGCTAATTAAGGTGAATGCTACTTTATTTATCAGCATTTATTGATACTTCGGAAACAACCATAAATAGTGACGGTGCGGCTCACAGTATATGGTTTCCATCTATAAATTGACCTGCTCTAACTTGAAGAACTAAGAAGTCGTACATTAAATCTAACACGAAGTTTTTAATGTAATATTTATTTTAGTATATCAGAATAATGTATTTTTTAAAATGGAACACCCTGTATATTTTCAGTAACTGAGAACTTCGAACTCGGATACATATAAGCAAATGACACACAAACTTTAAGTTTTTAGCCAAACTAATAAAAATAAGTATGATAAACCATATATATTTTAAATCAGAAAAAAGGGACTGTCATTTTAGCTGGAAACTCTAAGGTGTTCCATTAAAAAAAACATAACTTTGTTCGATAACACTTTTCTGAATCAAATATACAGGGTGTTTCAAATTCGACCCTTACCATTGGGATCTCGAAAACTGTAAGAGATACGGAGTCGCTTAAATGGGGCCATAGTTCAGTAGTCGCGTCGCGTGTTAGGATATTCAACAAAATGCCGTTCAGAAAGTTTCGAAATTTAAACTACTTCCGGAGAGAGTCGGAAAAAAATCGTTTTAATTTTTCCCTGACTATTTGAAATGAGATTTCAAAATAATTTGCATTAACATTGCCACTTTTTTCCTCTGCAAGTCGACAATTATAATTTCAATATGACGTTTCGTCTCTTGTCTTCCGGCATCAACGCTATATTTTCTCATAGAAGCCATATTGGATTTTTGCACAGATGAACAGTTTTTAATTCCGATTCCAAAAATGTATAATATCAGACGTCGAAGTGAACATAGCAACAGAGTTTTGCAGACTGAGGAATAGAGAAATAAATCCAGCAGTGAACAATGTACAGAGAAGAGTCAGGCTTTGCTTACAAAATAACGGACAGCATTTTGAACATCAGCTATGATTTACCTCTGCTCATTTGTGCTTATTATTGAAATTTTCATTTTGTGTTCAGATTTCGCCATACCTTTTTCTTTCCGTATAATATTTTTCTAATTACAAATTCACGGCCAACTACGAAAAGACATCACTTAATTTAGCATTAATATAGCGTCCGTATGAAAAAACAAAGCTGGTGATGGAAGCCGAAAGAAGAAATGTCGAATTGAAAATTTGTCTATGCCATCTTGTAAAGGCGAATAAGTAACAATAAAAACAGGCAATTTATTTTGAAATCCCAGTTCAAATAAAGTCAGGAAAAAATAAAAGTGATTTTAGGATAAACCTGGTATGTGAAACAAATGACTATCTGATAATTTCAATCCCTTCCTAGAAGATTCTGCTTTATTTGAAATAACGATGATTGGGTTATGTCAATGTATGACGTATTATACATTTCTGGAATCAGAATTCAAAACTCTATTCATATGTGTAAAAATCCAATATGGCATCTATAAGAAAAAATAAAATTGATGCTGGAGGACAAGAGTCGTAACGTTATATTGAAAATCTAATTGAACAAGTGGTAATATTAATGTGCAATTTATTCCGTCTCCCTCCGGAAGTACTTTGAATTTAGAAACTTTCTAAGCGGCATTTTGTTAATTACCTAAATACTCAACGTTGCCCCCGTTTAAGCGACTTCTTATCTCTTACAATTTCCGAAATAGAAATACCAATGGTGAGGGTCGAATCTGAAACACCCTGAATACAAAAAAAAAATATTACATGAAAAACTTCATATTAAATCCTATAACTTTTATATACTAATTTTTCTTCTGGGAGGTCATAAAAAAGATAGAGGTGGAGTCAATTTATAGCGGGACACACTATACATACTGAACGTGTAACATTTTCCTAAAACATATTCTCTGTACCTTTTCCTTTTCAATGTCCTTGTCCTCGGGCTCTTTCTCCTTCTCGGTTTCCTTCTCCTCTTTTCCCTTGCCTTCCTCCTTGGTCTCCTCCACGGGCTTGGGCAGATGAGAGTTGAGGTCCAACGTAGTGCAGATCTCGTCCCAATCGGGGAAGCAGCGCTCCTTCATCCGGTTGACCAAACCGACCAAGTTGGGACAATGCTCAGTCATGTAGTCGCGCAGAGGGTACGACACCTCCTTGTCGATGAAGTAGATTTGAGCTAGGTGGGCGAATACCACAACGTCCAACTGGAAGAAAAGTAAATTTTTATTTTCGTTCTATCGCCATTTCCGCTGAAAGATATGATCTACACTATTCATACTTCAACACATTCATTGTTAATTTTGAACTGTTGGCAACAGTGAATCTGCGAAAAAGGTGACACTGCACCTATGAGTAGTTTTGCCAATCGTGGTTCAACTAACCCTTACGTAAGGCAACCGAGAGCTATAGCTTCAAGGCATCTCTGAATGACAGTGTTTTTATGAATCAAAACAAAGACGTCCATCACATAGGCGTCCTACTTCCAGGTAGTACTACGTACTCGCCATTGAGGGTTTTTGCACTTCAAGACATTGAAACTATGTAAGTCTCATTTTTAATGCTGCGTAGATATCGCTCATTTTTTAAGCTTTAAAAATCATAAATCCTCTCTAAATATGTAATAATTATATTGCACTACTCAAACGCGCGTTACTATGGCAACATGGATAAAATGAGGTACTTTTCAAAATTCGGTCGACGGAATATCAGTGTTTCAACTCCTAAAAGCAAACCCTGAACGTTCACTATTTTTTTACAGTGGCAAAACTTTCCAAATTTCACAAAAATAATATTATTGATATGTTTCGAACAACTATTGTACAAAATCTCAGTCAAACTTTTTTGAGAATTTTCGAAACTATGACCGAAAACTGTACTATTGCATCATACTGGTACATACAAGTCCATAACATCATCAGAAAATAGATATTGCTTAGGTTATAATGACCTCATAAAACCACCATCTTAACGCAAAATTGGAGAAAAAATTTTACTCGCCATCCTTAAAATGTGACTCTACTTTTGCCGTGGAACGTGGAGTTCCGTTACATATGATGAGAAATTATACTTCGACGTTGTCAGTTTGACATCAAATATACAGGGTGTTAGGGTAATAATATACATAAGTTTAAGAGGTGATTCCTTACATTATTCTAAGCAAAAAAGTTCATTATAACCCATGTCCGAAAATCAATCGTTTTGGAGCAAAAAAAAATGCTGAACTTTTTTCTTTTAAGTCATGAAATAAATTAATTTTGCACCTTAATAATTTAAATTCATATGCTTAATTGCGTAAAATGTATCAATACATCTATTTATTAATTAACTGTCTCTTACAAAATAATTTCTTGCTTATTAAATACAATTTTCCGAAGAAATACAGACAAACAAAATCCCTCACACAACTGGCAACGTCGTAATCTGCCTGCACGGCTAGATCCCCCGATCTTAATCCATTAGATTTTTTCTTCTGGGGATTCATGAAAAATTTAGTTTACGCCTCTGAAATAAGGGATTAGAATGATTTAAGGGAGCGTATTTTGGCCGCCGCTAATGAAATAGAGTTAGAGAAAATTGGGTTTGACGGTGTCAGCTTGCGTAGATGCACATGGTTTCCATTTTAAACATCTATTGTGATTACTAACACATTCAACTGTAACTTTATGTGATTTACGAATGTTGTGTTTTTTCGTGCATCGCATCCTGTCAAATAAGTGAGTGATAATCGTGGGAAATGGTGGTGTGTATCGCCACGTACCGGAAAGTTCTGTCATTCTTTTTAAGTTATTAAATAAAAAACATTAGCCACAAAAAATTTCGTAAAATGTCGCGGTTGCGTTGCAGCGTTGCCAAATGTTGGAGAAAATTTAATTATATACGACTCACTTTCCTCGAAAACGATTGATTTTCGGACTCACGTTATAATGAACTTTTTTGCTTAGAATAATGCAAGGAATCACCCCTTAAAATTACGAATAGCATTTTCCTAACACCCTGTAAGGACACGTTTTATCGGAATCCGGAATTAAAATCAAATCTCAATGGGTGATGTCTTCATGGGTGCGTTTGTAAATCACTTGTTAATGTAATACCGTACATAGTAATGGAATGTAGATTGACAGATGAAATTTTACTCTGGAATATTATGAAACGTTGTTTTAAAACGCCAAAATTATTACAAACTCATGTAATGACACCTGATAACAACCGACTAATTTCTAACCACGTTTTCTGGGACCATTGTATTTATTATAAGAAACGCTAAGGATAGGGGCACTTTTTGATAACCAAATAAAATAAATAATGAACCATGAACATTATAAGTGATAGATAGCACTGTTAATCTCAACGTTTTGAGCACGGAAAGAAAATGGCACTTTTTGATGCTCCAGAAGAATTACTTTGTTCTAATGGAACAGGAATGACAAACAAATACGAACCAAACCACCTGCAAGAAATTTAAAGTTTTATTTCATTGTCCCAGTTTCGAATCTGTTTTAGTCCAACACACGAGCAAAAAAAACTAGGATTAACGGCATCATCCTTGAATGACGTTTGTAAGAAATTGATTTCAGCTATTAATTTTGTCTAGGCAGTGGATATCCCATTATACTTTGCTTATACGTCATACTTTCTTAAACTAGTAATTTGTGTTGCAGATGGAATATATGCAATATAATTCCGACATATACAGGGTTCATTTAAAAACTTCCCACCACAAATTTATCGAAAACGACTGGTTAAAAGGAAAAACGCCGAGACATGTCAAAAGATCTGTCAAGGGGGACAACTTTTTAACCAAAAACTACTTCACCCCCTTTCACTCTCAGCCTCCCAGGGTCAGACCCTTAAATATTTTAAATGACAAGGGGTATCGAGTAATAGCTTGTTTTGACGTTTGATTTTTTGAAATCGGTCGACTCGTTTTCGAGAAAATTAGAAAAAAATATTTATCTTAATCTGTTCAGATAGAAAACATCACATCAACACGAAAATATCACTTTTTGTTCCAATAAGTGTTAAATGTTGCTTGTTAGGGTTTGCCAAATATACAATTCGTTTATAATTTAAAACGGAAACTGCCAACATAAACAGCAATTCGGAAGATAACAGGTGCCAATAACCAAATTACAACCCGAATTTTTTCCGCATTCTTTTCATCAACACAGATGAACTGAATTTATTATTATACCTGTTTAGTTATTTGCTGTCAGTTACCTTTGTGACAATCTTGGGATAGTGAAAATTAATTTATTGATTCAGATTTTACCTCTAAAATGGTTTACACACCAGCAGAAAGAGTGGAAATAATTTTAATTTATGGTGCCCAAAATCAATGTGCTCGGCAAACTGCCGTCTTGTTTAACGCCAGACATCCGGGAAGATAACTTCGCATACGTACGTTCTGGACCTTGTTACTAAATTTACTCAAACTGGATCTGATGCAAATAAAAAAAACGTGATCATCGGCGAGTTTTGGATGAAGCCGCTCAAGTTGAAGTTTTGGGTCATTTTGGAATAAATCCTAATACATCATTACGCAAAATTGTTGCTGCGTCTGGTATTACATTAGGCTCTGTACACACAGTTATTAAACTCCATAAATTTCATCCATTCAAAATGAAAATATTGCAAGAGTTAACCGAAGATAATTTCGATAGGCGAGTTGAGTTTTGTGAACAAATGACTGCAGCAATTAATGATAATACCATTCATGTAAAGAATATCTGCTTCAGTAACGAATGCACATTTTATCTAAATGGATTTGTTAATAAGAATAAATGCAGATAGTGAAGCAATGAAAATCGTCATGTAGAAGGGCGTACCCAGTACCCCCAAAAAGTTAATGTACATGCAGGCATTTTAGGAAACAAAGTGATTGGGCCATTGTTTATTAATGGAAATTTGAATGGAGGCATTTATTTGGATATGTTGGAAAATACCATCAATCTCTGAAACCATTGAAAACAAAAACGAACAGGATGAAAACCCTATACTTGATGACGCTGAAACATATTTCCAGCAAGGCGGCGCTCCTCCTCACTATGTTCTTCCAGTTCGGCTATGGCTAGATGACGAGTTTCCAGATAAATGGAAACTTTGTCAACGCATCATCGAAAGCTGCCATGATATTCACACAACATGTTTTTGAAAATGTCCTCAGGAATTTGAACATCGCCTATATCTTTGTTTGGCCAATAACGGGCAACATTTTGAACACTTATTAAAATAAAATGTAATATTTTCGCGTGTTTTTGTTTTTTATCTGAACAAATTAAGATAAAGATTTTTCTAATTTTCTTGAAAACGAATCGACCGATCTTAAAAAATCAAACGTCAAAATAAAGGACTTCGAAAGACCCTTCAAACAAGCTATTACTCGATACCCCTTTTCATATAAAATTTTCAAGAGGATGACCCTGAGAGGCAGAGGGTGAAAGGGTGTGAAATGATTTTTGGTTGAAAAGTTGTCCCCCTTGGCAAATCTTTTGACGTGTCTCGGCGTGTTTTCTTTTAATCAGTGGTTTTAATAAATCCGTGGAGGAAAGTGTTTGAATGCACACCCTGTATATGAAGTACCTACAATAGATTTGTTCCAACCTTGAGTGTTGGTATCGTACCAGAACCATCCGGTTATCATTTGGTACGATTTTATACGCATGCGCTGACAGGTTATGATTCCAGAATTGCTTCTGGGCTGAAAGGTGGTTGGAACGATTTTTGAGTTATTTTTGTAGCTAGTGAGAGATAGCCCCTTCATCACTATTCATCGCAATGAAAGATGGACAACATCAATAAATTATCTTTAAATAGAAAATACAGGCTATCAGAGCACGGTTGCAGTTTTGGTGCAGGTTAACGGCAATCACGAAATGCAGAACTGTTCCGTTACGATACCGAATATGTTGGAACAGTTTTTCCTAAATGTGCTTGCGCGTCATCGTTATAGAACGGTTCTCGGACGGGTTGGAGCAAAGCTTATATTTTAGCATTTAATAGCTTTTTGAGGTGAATTAAAACTAACTTACGTTGGTGGGTTCATCTCCAAAGAAGAAAGGCTTGTCGGCAAGCATGTCCTTGAGCACCCTCAAATCCTCTTGGCCGAACTGGTTGATCTCCTCAGGCGTGTGTACGCCCATGCCTTGAGCCTTCACCTTTTTAGATCCCTGGAACCACTAAATTGTCAATACTACATTAACAACAACTCTAACGAACACTAAACACTGTAAAAGCATGCTTCTACCCAACATGCCAACCAAAAATTTAAAGTCAAAACACAATGTGAAAGATGCGTGTAACAAAATCAGTGTGGTTCAAAGTGGTAAAGGGTCATGTTAAGAGAATTAATTCAAAATGTTGAAAAATCTTGATTACAAATTACGAAAAGTCACGTTGTGGTGAAGAACGGTTATTTGGACAATATTTGACGAAAAAAAGTATGTGATGTTTTGATTAATTTGAACTATTAGCTACAATTTTGAATTGTCTTAAGGAAAAACTAGGTCAGTGTCAAAAAGCACTACACAAAAAATTGATAAGATTGCGCAATGGTTACAAGGTTGTTGGAAACTAATTATTTTCGTACAAATTACAAAACCGTGACAAACATAATTTCCCTAAACCACCTTCTGAAAATTATAATTCATTTGAGAACAAATTGTGACTGAATCTGCGAATCTGGTAAAACTAATAAAGCTAATTTGATAAAATGACATTTCAGTAATCTAATGAAGTATAATATCGAAAGTAGTTTGTCCAAATCAAGTGAAGACATGAAGTAAATAATGTGCTAAATGCCAAAAATTCCATGGCTATTATATTGTACTCAAAAATCCCGACAGAGCGCGCGCTTGTCAATCCTCATAACGCCGCCGGTAAAAAATGTGCCAATAAATATCTTTATATTTTATTGATAGTTTTTTGAGCTACAGGCGGCAGTTTCCACGCTGTTTTCTGACTTAGTGCTTGTTATTGTTTATCACGTTGTCACAGTTTCTTTTCATGGTCGACTAAAAATTAACTATCCTATTGCAACGTTTTTCTTATTTAGAATAATAATTTTATAGCAGTTCTTAAAAATATCGAATTTCATTTTTATAACAAACCACTTCTCTTAGTCTAATAATTTGGTGGTAGAAAATCATACTCTACTCTCCATCTCGTTAAAGGTCATTTTTTATAATTTCTGCCGACCGTAAATACCAGAGCTGAAGGTGACGCGTGTAAGAATTCAGCGGCCCACTATCCGATATTGTGAAATAGTTTCACACGCAGGGCTGCGGTTTATTGGGTGGTGGAGAGTTTAATAGAAATCGGCCTCCATTAGTGCGTCTGTTGACAGAGTCTTTTTTAAGACCCTCTTGCGATGATAGCAGCAGTGAAAAAAACACCATTCTTGTTACAATCATAAACCGTGAGGACCTTTTGATTTTAAAGTTGCTTCTGAAAGTTCAATCAATTCGTTAGGATCCAAGAAACCCTAAACGAAATAGACCATTGGAAAACAGCGAGGATTTTGAAGAAAAAAAGAACTACTGCAACTGTCGCAAAAATGACTCTTCCAAACCTGACCTGCCAAAGTAGAATTTCTGAAGAAAGATCTGCTGGCAATGATTCCTTATTTGAAGGAAACAAATAGAAAATTTTATGAAGATCTATTGAATTGTAATGTTTGAAGCTATTTTTAGGTTTTTTTCGTTATTATTTACCACAATATTCACTTTTTTGAAATGGCACTTAGCACAATCTATGATTTTGTAACTGTTACGAGTATAATTTTTTTCTGCTATTTTTTACAGAGAGTTCCAGAAAATATTAAGCACACAAAACAATACTTGATTAAACCAATGTTTAATTTTCATAGAGTTTTTTTAATGCATTGATTGAAGAACAACAAAAACTATTGTTTATCTCAAAATAATAATTTTGGTACTTAGCACATTATTTACTTCAAGACTTCAAATGCCCTTAAGTATACTCATAGAAAACGTACAATTTAATGTGTTTTCGAATAACATAACCAAAAACATGGAAATTGCTACAGTCTAAATTTCACTAGTACTATAAACGAAAGTTAATAAATATATAGATACCATCCCTATTTTACAAAATTAACATGCAGAATGGGTCCATAAAGTATGCAGCAGACTTTATAGACGACTATAATCATATCATTAATTTTCGAACTATATAACATTATCTTAGTAAACAATTCATATGATACCGGGTTGAGTCTTTATTCGTCCACATTACAGTGACCAATCTTACGAAATGATACTATACTCGTACTATAACCTATTTTAGCATCTTCTAATTCTACGTGCTATGAAAAAGTTAAAAAATACGAAAATTCGTTCTAATACAACAATAAAATATTTTATGACGTACTACAGGTATACTAAAAAGTAACATATGTACATAATATTTATAGTGTTATGCGATAATATCCCGTTAAAAACATACTCGCTTGACCTTAAATCGGATCTAAAAATCTAATTTATCCATATCACCAATCGGCCTAACCTAGATCTAAAATCATGTATGGAATTTCAACCTATGTACTAACAAAAACATTCTCAGATAATAATTTTCAGATAATTAAACAATGAGCAATTTGTACTACTTCCTGTTTACGTTTCGATCGAAGAGAAAAATCAATCAATACCAAAATAATTACTTTAATGAAAAAACATCAATTCAAATCTGAATATCGCAAACATGCTATCAACGTCCAAAGGTAGCGACAAGTGGCGGTATCCATCGATATAAAATGAATATGTCATTAAATTGTGTTATCACTGAATCGCCGGTCACTTGTCGTCACCATGAATAGGAGGTTAAACTGCATAGGAGTATTCGTATGAAGCCAATCCTGGTGCCAAGGATGGCGTGGCTCTCGGAAATCTAGTGGTCGTAGAACATGGCGCAGAACGTATTTCACTCTTTCACTCTTATCTTGCCGTGCTTTGTAGGTTTATTCTTCGTGCTCTAATATTATTCAATATTCCTGCGTGCAACGCGCAAGAGCTGTCAAAATTGGAGTTGTTTACAGTCATGATGACAGTAAGAAAGAGAGATGCCTCATGCGCAGAACCTGGAATTCATTTGCTACGCAGTGTACAAATTCACTTCATCGTCGACACCCCACTCCCCACTCCATGAGTTTAACCCCCTATCTCTAGTCTCATGGTCCCCACCTTTGAATGCAAACTATATTTTGGCCATTTCGTACGTATACATACCAGGTGTAACAAAAGTAACGGAACGGGTATTTTTCCAGGAAAGGTATTTGCGAAAAAGGTCACAGTCAATTAACTTTGGCAAGGACTCAATGATGATCTTGGATTGACCTTGAATACACATTCAAGGTTATTCAAAGGTCAACTTTTGTTTTTCAGGTAAAATACTTTATTTACTGAGAAATCCTTTATTTGAACCGGCAAAGGAAAATGTTACGTTTTAATGTACAATTACTACCTTAAAAGTGAGGCTCAAGGTCTAAACTAAGGTCAATATTAAGATGTCTGTCACTAAAGGGTAGAAGGAATTTTCAGTAGCATAACACATTTGACGTTAATTTGAACTTTGACGGTGACCGTCATCTTAGATTTTAATACAAATACAAACGTAGAACGTTTCGTCCTTTCGACTGCTGGTATCAAAAAAGCGACTTTTAATTTAAAAAACGAAAGTTGATATTCAAATGAACTTGAAAGATAAGCTCAAGGTTAAATCCAATGTCACCATGATCCTTATCCAAAGTTAGTATAGACCTGACCTTGACCCTTTCCAAACATAACATACTTGGAAGAGCCGGTCCAATACTTTTGTTTGAGACGGAACACGAGACATGCAAGTCCACACCAAAGCTATGTGTTTGGTAGTAAAATTAAGAATGATTTTGGAAATTCTTACCTTCCTGCCAAAAGCGAATTTGAAGAAGAAATTGAGCACACCATTTGGTATCCTTGTGCCCAACGCGTGCTGTAAGTTGACTTTGTAGCCTTTCAATACCTGATCAGGGTACTTTGTTCTCCACCACATTACCTGAAAATAGTAATGAAGACACCTAGATATTTTTTATGCTCTAGATATAACTAGAGTAAAGTGGGGTAATATGGCACCATGGGTAATACGCCGCAGTTCAATATTTCCGTTGTAAATCGCGAGGGGGCGTCCAGGAAGGTGTCAAGTGCACGTTGATTTGCTGTTTTCATCGCGGAAAATATTCAAAGAGGAGTATTTAACAGTATTTAGGAAAAAATACGTAAATACAAGGTAAGTACATTGCTCAAATTATTTTTTAATAAGATTTTTGCCGATGTGAATGCAGTTGTAAGTATTTTGATGCTATTTCCAGTAGGGACCATGGAATCTGCGGTACATAACCTAACTTTTTATGCCACGTAGGATAACCAGATTTCACTAGACATGAGTTTATGATTTGCTAAATCTGGAAGATACGCTTTGGGGTAATATGCCATAATACTGCCATATTACCCCAAAATGCGGCATATTATCCCAGTATGTATCATTTACCATTTTAAAATTTCAGAGTAAAGAAGATGCCACGAAATTACACCAAGAAAAATGTGAGGGCCATGTGGTCGGCAGAAGATCTGATAAATGCAATCTCGGATGTTAGATGTGGTCGTGGTTCAATAAGGCAAATAAGTCGGACATATGCTGTGTCTGTTAGGACCTTAATGAGGAGGATCCAATCAGGAAACGCAAACAAGGTCAAGTTAGGGCGTAAGAGTTATCTAAGTCCAGAACATGAACGATGCTTGGTAGATTATATCAAAAAAATGGAGAAGATGGGTTTTGCGTTAACACCTGTAGACGTAAAAAAGATTGCGTACTCTTTTGCCATCTGTAATAACATAGAAAATAATTTTAATCCGGAGAAAAAAGAAGCTGGCCATGACTGGTTCTGCTCTTTTATGAAGAGACATCCAAATTTATCCATTCGAAAAGCTCAGGGAATGTCAACGGCTCGAGCTCAAGGTATGAACAAAGAAGAATGCGATCATTACTTTGACCTGCTCGGGAACCTTTTAACAGAAAATAACCTAATATCCGCTCCCAGAAAAATTTTCAATGTAGATGAAACTGGGGTTCAGCTAAATAACAACCCAGGAAAGGTAATTGCTACCAGAGGTTCCAAAATGGTAAATTGTGTAACAAGTGCAGAGAAAGGTGAGACTGTGTCAGTTATAGCCTGCGTGAATGCAGAAGGTCATTTCCTTCCACCCTACTGCATTATGAAGGGAAAAAACAAGAAAAAAGAATTTGAAGACGGATTGCCACAAGGTGGTACAGTTGTAATGAGTGAAAAATCGGCGTATGTAACTACGGATATTTTCAAAGCATGGCTTCTTCATCACTTTATTCCACGTAAAGAACAAGGCAAAGTACTCCTCGTCCTTGACGGTCATTCCTCTCATTGCTCTGATGTGGAAATACTAGACCTGGCAACAGCCAATGACATAATTCTGTTGTGCCTACCTAGCCACACTACTCATTGGCTGCAGCCATTAGATAGATCATTCTTCAAGCCTCTTAAGGTTTATTGGAATGAAGCATGTAAGAAATGGGTACAAAACAATCCCGGTCGCAAACTCTCCAGATTGCAGTTTCCGTCACTCCTCAATACTGCATGGTGTAAAGCTGCTTCAGTTCAAAATGCAGTATCAGGATTTAGGACATGTGGTATTTTTCCTTTTGATAAATCCAAAATCCCAGAATATGCTTTTATCTGCAAAAATACTGCAAATGCTGCTCTTAGAAATGAGAATTCACCGGATGAAAATATTGGGGAAGCCACTGCTCATGTCATTATTGATGCCAACAACCAAAACAACGGGCGTTCTCCAAAGACAGCTGATCCAGATCAAAATCCATTTGAAGCTATTTCAGCGGTTCCGTGCATACCAGGAACGAGTGGGTGCCAGAAGCGAAAACAGCATGCAGAGGTACTAACATCACCAGAGGTAGTAGCAGCAAAACGAGAGAAAAAAGAGGCCAAAGAAAAAAAAAAGATCTGCGAAACTGATGAAATCCCAGCAACGGATGAAAAAAACGGATGAGAAACACAGTAGCAATACTAAGGAAAAGGCAGGAAGTAACAAAAAGCTTGCCAAAGAAAAAAGTCGTAGAAGAGCCCGATTTGATTCTAGTTCGTCCGAAAGCGAAACGGAAGTAGTTACACAGGAAAGTGGTGAATCAGAAATAGAAGTAGACCGTTCTGAAATTTGTGCAGAATGCGGTGGATATTATTTCGACAAAAAGGGTCCCAAATGCGATTGGATACAATGCACGAGGTGTTCAGACTGGATCCATGAGATCTGCACAAGATCTGACTTATACTGCAAGGATTGTATCCCACTTCAACAGCTGCAAACGATATGAAATGGAAAAATTGAATGTTTGTTTTTCATTCTAGTTCAAGTTTCTTTTTATTTCTTATTTGACATATTTGAACTTATTTTAGATTAACTTTGGATTCTGATTAGGTTTACTTATATTTTGATATGTTAAACAACATTTCTTAAAAAATATGTTTGTTTATGTTTTTTGTCATAAATTAAATGAATCCTTATGCAAATCGCATGTTGCCATATTTCCCAATGTCCTATGCCATATTACCCTGATGCTGGGGGAATATGGCAATTTGTCATTATTCGAGAATTTTGTTTCCTATTGGAACTACGGTCAAACCAGCACAAAAACTGACTTAGTTAACCATACCTCATACTTTAAGGACCGTCTAGCCAGTTCGATTGCAAGGCTGAATGGAGACATTACAGATTTATGGTCCAATAAAAAACAAGTTGCCATAATACCCCATTCTACTCTATAGTTTTTCAAAGATTTTGGAAGTATTTTAGTATAATAATAATACGAACGATTTTCAGATTCTTGTTAGTACAAGAATCTGAAAATCTAATGTCATGCCTTTAACTCTATGCTTCAAATGGCATGACGTCCGAGCTACATGCTCAAAAAAAAAATTTTTTTTAATTAGAGCGATGTTTTTTCATTACTTTGTCTCTAACAGCCTCCACACAAATATCGCAAAAAATTCCAAAATGACGGCTCTGTTTCTACCAAACAAAGTCAGGGAGAAAGAAGGGAAGAAGAAAGGAAGGAAGTAAGGAGGGAGAGCAAATAAAAAAGAAGTGCGTCAATTTGAGGGGTACCGTGGCATTGCTAATTAGTATTCGGCAATTTTAAATTGATCCTAAAATTAATTTTGGGATTCGTTGTTGAAGAAAAATTATAATTTTGGGTAGATCTAAATTCGCACGATTTAATTTTGTTCACAGTGCGAGGCGCGGCCTTGTGTGCTTGCGAACTTGCTCGACTGTGTAGTCTACTGACTCGCGCAACAAAGTGTTGTTATGCGATTCCGCTTCACTATAACGCAGTTGCGCTTTTGGTTTGATGTAGTCCCTTAGGTAAGGGATATCAAGGTCTCTGTGAAGGGTCTCGTTGGAAACATACCATGGGGCGTCAGTGATTGTACGCAAGGTTCTGTTCTGCAAAACCTGCAGGCTACGCAAATGCGTTTTGGCGAGAAAACACCAAGGCGCACTTGCGTAAATGATCGCTGGTCTAATAACCATCTTGTACAGCCGAACTTCGTTGATCAAACTTAATTTTGATGTTCTACATAGCATACGGTAGAGTTACCGAAACGAGATTTGGATTTTAGTTTTTAACGCTTCAGTGTGCTTCTGCCAGGTCAAGAGTGACACCGAGATACTTAACAGAGCTTTCCCATGGTACCCGAGCTCCATTCACTGAAACCTCTGACGGGGCGTCGCTACGTTTTTTAGTACAATAGATTGCCTGCGTTTTCGAATGATTAATTTTGGTCAGCCACAGATTCGCCCATTCCAATACCTCGTCCACTGCACTTAGCAGCCTGTCGTGAACTAGATCCCCAGAGCACGACTGGGCCACCAGGGTAGTGTCATCAGCATAGAGATAGATTTCACAGTTGCTGGGGCAAGGGACGTCATGAATAAAAAGTGAATAAAGGACTAGTCCAAGAACCGAACCCTGAGGGACACCGGCTTTGATGGGCTGTGTTGTCGTCAGAACGTTATTAATTTTGATCCGAAATTTCCTACCCTCGAGGAAGGATTTCAAAAGTTTTAGGAGGCAGAAGGAGAAGCCCTTATGGATCAATTTGTAGAGAAGGCCCCTGTGCCATACCTTGTCAGATGCCTTTGAAACATCCAGAAGCAAGATGCCAGTACTTTCGTTACGGGTGAATTTCCTGGTTACTCGTTCAACAAGCCTTATGGCCTGTAGCTCCGTACTAAGCTCAGACCGAAAGCCAAATTGACGTAGTATCACCTTTTCAGTGAGCTCAGTAGGAACTGACAGTAGACTAATGGGGCGGTAATCCTGGGGGAATATCGAACCCACCTTCTTTGGAATCATTATGACATCAGCGGTCTTCCACGCCGTTGGGAAGTGCTGGGTCCTTAGCATGGCATTGATTATTGCCACGAGATAAGTTAAGGACTTTCGCGAAAGTAGCTTCAGCGCCTTATTAGTGATTCGATCCTCTCCAGGTGCTTTACGCACCTTGAGGTCTTTAATATGACCTTGGAGCTCTGCTGGTGTGCAATGCGGAGTCTCAGGAGATTCCGCTGATGTGCCATGACGGTTGTTTCCTTTAAGTTATTAAATCATTTTGCAGTTACAAACATATTAGTTCCTAGCGACCGGACTATAAAAAAAATGTCAATACATAGGGTTTTCCAATATCATATGTTTCTGACAAACACGTCGATCGTTATGTAAAATTTTTTTTGTTCTAAACCTTCAAGTGTAATACGTCAATTAATGAATAAAAAAGAAATTACATTTGCACGACCAAAAACTACCACAGCTACAAAAATATGTCAGAAATCCTGTCACTAGATGTAGGTAAATCATGCTCAAGTAGATGAAAATTGAGTTTATCAAATCCAGTCTTATGTTTGTGTGTG